TCACGCCAATATCGACATTGCCCCAACACTCAGACACGGACATGAAGATTTCTGTGCAAAGATGGGAATGGGATCAATGAGGATATCAATGAGGGCCGAGTTCTTTAACTACTAATGAGTTCTTTTAATTACTGCCAAGAGTGAGATCATTCCATACAAAACAAGTATATCGTCTCCCGAATGAAACGGCAAAATGTACCTTGAAAGTTTGGTCTAGCGCCGTAACGCGTAGTCCATGACAAAGCGCGATCTTTTGGGACCACGTTGTCCTGCATTGTACTGGTATGTGCACTCTGCTGCGACTTGTTATCGTTCTCGCCATCCTCGGCTTCCTCTGCAGCTACGGCTCTTTTTTCCCAGCGATGCCATGAATAGATGACGGGGCCTCCAAATATAATTACACTGCCAATCATGCATCCTACAAGCAAGAGGCCTTTGTACCACCATGAGAGTATATTAAAAGGGTGTACGTAGAAGATGTCCAGCAGGGCCATCGATACGGCAAATCCAACAATGGATGAGATGGCATAAGCTCCGGACCATGCGCGGTTTCCCGTACCAACTAGAACGGACATGCCGCTTCCCCTGGATAGAGGAGACACGGAAGTGCTAATGCCCTCATAAATGTTACCTTCTTCCTACAGCATAACCACACTTAGCTCATTATTTCAGGGATCTGAGGCAAATTGTATGTCAAAGTGCGCCTAATAATCGCGCCAAAATCGCGCAATTATTCGCGCACCCGCACGCGGGTATTGTGTGGACTAGCACACACCCCATTGTCTTCACTCTAAGGAGCAAGAAGATATTCACAATTATAAAGTGACCCACTTTCTCAAAACTTTTCTATGTGAGATAAAAAAAAGAGCATTATTTTATTTATTTTACAAACAAACATTCAACAGTGGATTGTCACGTCACAGAAGAATCGTCCTCCGGATTTGCGATCAGGTCCACTCAATTATCTGCGTACCCAAGAACTTGCGTTGTCATGTCATCCGTCGTTGCATGAGCAGCCATGTGGGTGGGTTCCATTTACTGAAGTGCCAGCTCGCTCGAGCGACGGAGAACTGGACACGGACGACCCACCCGCCACCTGTAAGTCTTCGAAGCCCGATGATGATGAGCTTCAACCGTGCGGTTTCTTCGAACGCTTGAAGAAAACGCATGCAATCTTTGGCTTCACGGCTCGAGAAAGAAACGAATTTGATTGACCCAATGAGCAGCAAAAGATGCTGTTTTGATCTTTGGAACACGGGTCAGAGAAAAATAAATTTGGTGAATAAATCAAAAGAAAGTTGATAATCCAAAATTAGTTGGTAACTTAAGATTGGTAATTTCCGTAAAAAGTTGATCAATTTAAGAAGTTGTTGAAGAATGCAAATAAAAGTTTGTAAACGACAAAACAAGGTTGGCAAATTAAAAAAAATCAAATAATTATCGGTAAGTGACTTAAATGAGGATTGATAACCCAATATTAAATGATATTTAATGGGAGAAAATTTAAAAAGCTGCTATTTTAGGTTGGTAATCTCTAAAGAGAATTGGTAAATGTAAAAGATTGTTAGTCAATATAAATAAATATCGGTAACTCAATCGGAAAAGTTGATAAATTAAATATATATCGATATATATCTTAAATGAGAGTTGGTAACAAAAAATTGGTTAATAAATTAACGTGGCAAAAGTTAGTGAATCACTCTAAAGGTTGGTAATTCTATATAAGAGTTAGTCAATTCCAAATAATTATGTAAATATTTGCTCAGTTGCAAACATAAAAGTTTTGCTAAACACTAACAAATCGCTTGTGAAAAAGTCGCCATGTATTTATTTTTTACCAACAGGTTTTTGCTGCTTACCAACATTATCGAATCTTAACAATACTAGAAAAAAAAATCCTTACTTTTGGTACTAGACAATAGAATTCTGCAAAAACAGAAAAATCTAAAATTGATTTTTATTGTATTTACATTTTAGTTATTTCAAATCTACCACTCATTCAATTAGACTTTAATTTAAGATACCCGAACCTTTCAACACAAAGAAAATATCGATATGTAGATTAGCATACAATATTTCCATAATTCTCTGAAAACCTAATTTGTACTTTTAAGTTTTGACCCAAAACTCAATAGATAACTTTTTCACTAAATATGATTAAGAACAAATGGGCCCTTTTATTGACTCAAGGTGCAGGACATTGCTCTTCCAAACGTTATTTTCATTTTTGAAATTTAGGGAGAAAGTTATCCAATTTTGAAATGGTGGATACTAGTTAAAAAAATATATTTGAGTTTGTTCCCAACCCATCCTAATAATATTCAGTTCATTAATATGAATCGGTGAAACAATGTCCACTTGCATACACCTGGGTGTCTCACAAAGTCAGAGTACACTAATCATCTAACCAGACATCGTAATACTGCGTCGCGTCCCATTACAAAGATATTCCAATCCTATATGATTGTTGATTAGGATACTACATCATGAGTACTCTAGGCTGATCGATGCTCGCGGATTGGATCAGTCACATGCTTGGCACGGATGAGATTGAACAGTCATTGATAGGGTAGCTACAGATCGAAACTGTGGCTGTTGTAATGGAAGACTGGGTGAAGCGCTCGCCTCCTCAAGTTCCGTGACCTGCACTGCTTGGCAACGCTCGACTGAAGAGTTGCAGGGCCGGACACGATCACGCCAATATCGACATTGCCCCAACACTCAGACACGGACATGAAGATTTCTGTGCAAAGATGGGAATGGGATCAATGAGGATATCAATGAGGGCCGAGTTCTTTAACTACTAATGAGTTCTTTTAATTACTGCCAAGAGTGAGATCATTCCATCCAAAACAAGTATATCGTCTCCCGAATGAAACGGCAAAATGTACCTTGAAAGTTTGGTCTAGCGCCGTAACGCGTAGTCCATGACAAAGCGCGATCTTTTGGGACCACATTGTCCTGCATTGTACTGGAATGTGCACTCTGCTGTGACTTGTCATCGTTCTCGCCATCCTCGGCTTCCTCTGCAGCTACGGCTCTTTTTTCCCAGCGATGCCATGAATAGATGACGGGGCCTCCAAATATAATTACACTGCCAATCATGCATCCTACAAGCAAGAGGCCTTTGTACCACCATGAGAGTATATTAAAAGGGTGTACGTAGAAGATGTCCAGCAGGGCCATCGATACGGCAAATCCAACAATGGATGAGATGGCGTAAGCTCCGGACCACGCGCGGTTTCCCGTACCAACTAGAACGGACATGCCGCTTCCCCTGGATAGAGGAGACACGGAAGTGCTAATGCCCTCATCAATGTTACCTTCTTCCTGCAGCATAATCACACTTAACTCATTATTTCAGGGATCTGAGGCAAATTGTATGTCAAAGTGAGCCTAATAATCGCGCCAAAATCGCGCAATTATTCGCGCACCCGCACGCGGGTATTGTGTGGACTAGCACACACCCCATTATCTTCACTCTAAGGAGCAAGAAGATATTCACAATTATAAAGTGACCCACTTTCTCAAAACTTTTTTATGTGAGGCAAAGAAAATAATATTATTTTATTTATTTTACAAACAAACATTCAACAGTGAATTGTCACATCACAGAAGAATCGTGCTACGGATATGCGATCAGGTCCACTCAATTATCTGCGTACCCAAGAACTTGCGTTGTCATGTCATCTGTCGTTGCATGTGCAGCCATGTGGGTGGGTTCCATTTACTGAAGTGCCAGCTCGCTCGAGCGACGGAGAACTGGACACGGACGACCCACCCGCCACCTGTAAGTCTTCGAAGCCCGATGATGATGAGCTTCAACCGTACGGTTTCTTCGAACGCTTGAAGAAAACGCATGCAAACTTTGGCTTCACGGCTCGAGAAAGAAACGAATTTGATTGACCCAGTGAGCAGCAAAAGATGCTATTTTGATCTTTGGAACACGGGTCAGAGAAATATAAATTTGGTGGATAAATCAAAAGAAAGTTGGTAATCCAAAATTAGTTGGTAACTTAAGATTGGTAATTTCCGTAAAAAGTTGGTCAATTTAAGAAGTTGTTGAAGAATGCAAATAAAAGTTTGTAAACGACAAAACAAGGTTGGCAAATTAAAAAAAATCAAATAATTATCGTTAAGTGACTTAAATGAGGATTGATAACCCAATATTAAATGATATTTAATGGGAGAAAATTTAAAAAACTGCTATTTTAGGCTGATAATCTCTAAAGAGAATTGGTAAATGTTAAAGATTGTTAGTCAATATAAATAAATATCGGTAACTCAATCGGAAAAGTTGATAAATTAAATATATATCGATATATATCTTAAATGAGAGTTGGTAACAAAAAATTGGTTAATAAATTAACGTGGCAAAAGTTAGTGAATCACTCTAAAGATTGGTAATTCTATATAAGAGTTAGTCAATTCCAAATAATTATGTAAATATTTGCTCGGTTGCAAACATAAAAGTTTTGCTAAACACTAACAAATCGCTTGGGAAAAAGTCGCCATGTATTTATTTTTTACCAACAGGTTTTTGCTGCTTACCAACATTATCGAATCTTAACAATACTAGAAAAAAAATCCTTACTTTTGGTACTAGACAATAGAACTCTGCAAAAACAGAAAAATCTAAAATTGATTTTTATTGTATTTACATTTTAGTTATTTCAAATCTACCACTCATTCAATTCGACTTTAATTTAAGATACCCGAACCTTTCAACACAAAGAAAATATCGATATGTAGATTAGCATACAATATTGCCATAATTCTCTGAAAACTTAATTTGTACTTTTAAGTTTTGACCCAAAACTCAATAGATAACTTTTTCACTAAATATGATTAAGAACAAATGGGCCCTTTTATTGACTCAAGGTGCAGGACATTGCTCTTCCAAACGTTATTTTCATTTTTGAAATTTAGGGAGAAAGTTATCCAATTTTGAAATGGTGGATACTAGTTAAAAAAATATATTTGAGTTTGTTCCCAACCCATCCTAATAATATTCAGTTCATTAATATGAATCAGTGAAACAATGTCCACTTGCATACACCTGGGTGTCTCACAAATTCAGAGTACACTAATCATCTAACCAGGCATCGTAATACTGCGTCGCGTCCCATTACAATGATAATCCAATCCTATATGATTGTTGATTAGGATACTATATCATGAGTACTCTAGGCTGATCGATGCTCGCGGATTGGATCAGTCACATGCTTGGCACGGATGAGATTGAACAGCCATTGACAGGGTAGCTACAGATCGAAACTGTGGCTGTTGTAATGGAAGACTGGGTGAAGCGCTCGCCTCCTCAAGTTCCGTGACCTGCACTGCTTGGCAACGCTCGACTGAAGAGTTGCAGGACCGGACACGATCACGCCAATATCGACATTGCCCCAGCACTCAGACACGGACATGAAGATTTCTGTGCAAAGATGGGAATGGGATCAATGAGGATATCAATGAGGGCCGAGTTCTTTAACTACTAATGAGTTCTTTTAATTACCGTCAAGAGTGAGATCATTCCATCCAAAACAAGTATATCGTCTCCCGAATGAAACGGCAAAATGTACCTTGAAAGTTTGGTCTAGCGCCGTAATGCGTAGTCCATGACAAAGCGCGATCTTTTGGGACTATGTTGTCCTGCATTGTATTGGAATGTGCACTCTGCTGCGACTTGTCATCGTTCTCGCCATCCTCGGCTTCCTCTGCAGCTATGGCTCTTTTTTCCCAGCGATGCCATGAATAGATGACAGGGCCTCCAAATATAATTACACTGCCAATCATGCATCCTACAAGCAAGAGGCCTTTGTACCACCATGAGAGTATATTAAAAGGGTGTACGTAGAAGATGTCCAGCAGGGCCATCGATACGACAAATCCAACAATGGATGAGATGGCATAAGCTCCGGACCACGCGCGGTTTCCCGTACCAACTAGAACGGACATGCCGCTTCCCCTGGATAGAGGAGACACGGAAGTGCTAATGCCCTCATCAATGTTACCTTCTTCCTGCAACATAACCACACTTAGCTCATTATTTCACGGATCTGAGGCAAATTGTATGTCAAAGGCACAGGTCAGATTTACCAGTGGAGGATCCGATTCCCTAGTGACGTAGACACGAACTTCGAGGTCCAGCTTATCGGAAAAGTTAGGACAGGTCGACTCCGTATCCAGAGTGGAAAGCAGATGAAGCTCATTGGATTTTCTTATGGTCCAAATCACCAGGACATTCTTTGGCAAGCATGGTTTCCCTTGATTTGTAAGATGGAGTATGTCACTCAAGACAGCCAAAAAGGGGGATATCCCACTGCCTCCAGCTACCAGAATGAGATTTTCATATCTACCAGAGCAAACAATTCAAGAATGAATCCGCTAAAAAGAGGGGACAATCTTAAGATACTTCCTAATCTAGAAGCACTAATATTTTAATGGAGGTCAGAATGTGTTCTTTCAAATGAGAAGGGTCGAACTTTGCCTAGTTTTACTCATCACTGATGGTTTCATGCCTTATTGTTTTCTTGCCATTAATTACGAAAGATTTACCAGCAGATCATAAAACATACGTCAGATGGTAAGGGATTTCATGCCCGTAAGGCCCTTCGACAGAAGCTGTAATTTTGGAACGAGATTGACTGTGGAGTCCGTTTTCTCCTTCTGTGCCGGACATATGCAATACCTTGCTCTTCAAGTTCGAGGTCCATTCCCCTGAGACCTTTATGAGGACAGAGATACGTTTCCTTCCAGCCAGAGGACTAGAAGAAACACTGAAAGGATGCCATTGAAGGCAAGACAATTCCCTAATCTGAAGGAAGATGAAACTCAGGGCAGTGTACCGCAGATCTGCATCACCAAGAAAATACCAACTCAAATAGTAGAACATTCTGCAAGAGGGTACAAGCAACTAATTAACGATCCACAGATGAAGAAAATGAGAAATTATTAGTACTTGCTGGCTTTGAGAAGACCAATTCTACACTTCCGCCAGGGAGGCATGTTGCGGAAATTACATCCACAGTCCTTCGCGATTGGCAGAATCTGAGAAACCGGTCGATCACGAAGAGGAAAATCCCTCCGGCAGCTAGACTAAAGTAAAAATCTCCGCCATGCAGAGCCAGAAAGATGACGAAGACAACATAGAGTTGGTGTGTATAGAAGAATAACTCGAAGTTCTTCTTCCTCACTGGAGGCAACGCAGTCACCCACATCAGTAGACCAGCCAAAAGGCTGATGACCCCGGGTAGAATGGCAATACCTTCATCCGTCCACTCCAGTATCTGAATAAGACATTCTGAGTCTAGGATTAAGAACTTCAGCATAATCAAGTCCAATTATGTCTGATTATAGAAATTTCTAATAGGAAGTTACCATGGACACCGATCATGACTAGCACTTATGATGCTCAGCTCCTTAAACAGGAAACGGAAAGAATGACAAAGATAGGACTAATTGGAGAGAGGAAAAGATAACCATTTAAGCAAAAGCAAATCGATGGGGCTCACTTCATCTAGCAGTTGACCTTCCAGCGCCCATGCAATTACGAAGCATAGCCCATGGAGAGTGAAGAAGGGCATTGTGAGATGTCCTAGCCAGACATGATACCGGGTTGCTTGCTCAAAGGGGATATCTATGATACTAAGAAGAACAGATCCCCTAGAAATTGGGAGGAAGAGAAACGCCAAGCAGAACATCCCGATCCAAGCAAAGCGAATTCCGATAACCGTAAGCATCAAAATCCTGCAAAGAACAATGAATTACCCAGTGGAACGGCCTTGTTTACTAAGAATCGAGAAGACGCATGCCGCAAACTTGAGATTTTTGACACATAATTTCAAATGATAGGCTGGCGTAAAAGGGTGACTATGAATTTAAGCTAGAACAAGGAATACCATTTCGCTTCCGAAGATAACGAGGGCTCCAACAACACGTTGAGATTCTGCATGGTATAAGCATATAAAGCCCAGATAGCGAACGCTACAAAGAGGCAAATCCCAATAAACTCAGCTGCTGAGACTACTCCAAATGGTCCATCAACCAGGATGGGAAATGTCCGCAATCGAATCCTTGGGTATTTGCTACTCGTCTTCCTGAGATCTCGTGTTCAATGGCAGTGTATGAGGAAGTAAATTTGTTCAGTGAAAAAAGGCAGAGACAAAAAAGGGACAACGACTGGAGGTTCAACATACAATTGGAGCGCTTTCTTCCCATCAACCATAAGACTTGCTATGGCAAGAAACACGATGACGAGAATCGGACCGCTACACAGCAAGAATATGCTCCCTGCTGGGTGGTTCAAGCAGTAATAAGATGACGATCATTGCCAGTAGGCCCAGTTCAGGATCGAGGAGAGACAAAAAAAAAACCGAACCTGTAATGCCATATATGCTTCCGCTGGTCACGCTGGTCCAACTCTCCACGAGCTCAGTCCAGGCATCCGAGGGGAACATAAAAAAAACCGCGACCCATAAACCGAGGACGAGCCACATGGCGACGCCGAGAACCCATTTGACAAGCGCAGTGGCAAAGGTGGAACGAGGCGGATTCTCATTCTCGGCATCGGTAAGGTTCAGCAGCAGGGGCTCATCAGCAGAGTGGTTATCGGCCATGGAAAGTGATGTGGCGATGGAGGGTATTCACAGCGAATTCTGAGGACGCATCCAGATTATCAGGAACTGTACAACATCAAGGAATTTGGCCTTGCATTGCATATATCAGTTATGAGGACTTGTAGAATCCAAGTCACTCACGTGACAATCTTAGTATTTCCTTTGGCTGACTGGATAGGATAGGATAAGAAATCCTGATATTTCTTCATATCCTGTCCAGGATTTCTTATCCTATCCTATCCACTGTTTGGTGGACTACGGATTTAAAGTCGGATATGGTAATTTTTTTTTTTTTTGCTATTCACGGGTACAGAGGAGTCAGTGAAGGAAAAAAAGCCGAGAAATTTTTTGATGAAAGCACACAAGGTGTGGGGATGAAGATGACGGCGAGTGGAGCGTAGGGTTTCTGAAAAAATAGGCATTAGAAATCCTATCCGGATCTATCCCACCCCCCCGGATTTTTTTATCCGGGCTATATCCGGTCTATATCCGACCTTATCCTATCCTGGACCACCATCAAACACAAGATATGATAAAATATATCCTATCCTGACTTTTATCCGGTCGACCAAACGCAAACTTTGAGCTAGGGGTGTCAATAAAACCCGACCCGACCCATACCGGACCGGCCTGACCCGGCCTAGCCCGGAAATTTAGGGCTTTTCGGGGCGGGCCTCCTTTGGATTGGGTAAGAGCCCTAAATTTCATATATTATTCATTTTCGGGCCGAGCCGGTCCAGGTCGGGCTTTTTTTACAGCCGGCCCGGGACTTAAAAAAACCCTAGATATCAACTCCTTCGTCTCTTTTGTCTTCAAGCTTCCGCTCACCCCTTGCGAAGCGCAGCGCATGTGGTCCATATGCCGTCAGCTCTAACGAGTATGAGGGGGAAGATCTATCTTCAATCGAGGAACTCCCGGATGAATGCCTCTTTGAGATCTTTAGACGGCTTCCTAGCTGTAGAGAAAGGAGCTTCTGTGCCTGTGTTAAGATCTTCGAGCTGTTGAGCCTTGGTGCGAGGTAGAGCAGGCTGCCTGTCTTTGCTTGTCGCTTTCGCCAGTCTCGTTTTGGTCTTTGCTCGGTGTTCTGTTTCAATCTGGTGAAATTCTGAGTAGCCTTTTGTCTTTCTTGGTTCAATTCTTCCATGTTCTTCTTGGTTCTTTCTGTTCCAATCTCGTGCTGGATTGTGTTTATGATGTCGGAAGTAGCTTTTCGTCTTTCCAATCTGTGATCATACGTCGTATGATGAATAGGAGGGTGTGAAATTTGGGTATATTTCTGTTGGGTTGAATTGAATCTTGAGAAGTAACCATGAAATTGAGAAATCAATCTGGTGGTGCCTTTTTGCTTTGCTAGCAACTGATGGTGTGTCATTTAACTTGGGTCAAGTACAGCGGACTTGGTCACTTGTGATCAAGATTTTTGCACTTCCACGTACCATACCCTCCTTCCTGATTATACTTTTCGGTTCCAAGACCGTTCAGATGGATTTATTGAACAATAAAAACGAGATGGTCCCCAAGTAGCTACTTAATACACAAGCCATCTTTTCAGTCAAGACTACTTTAGAAGGATTTATTCCACAATAAAATTACTGAGATGGTACCCAAGTTGTAACTTGACGATGCTTACTCAATTGTTCAGGTTTGTACTGGACTTCAATCCCGTCTTCAGGAATACAAATCGGAAAACCAACAGCTCGAGGAACTTCTTACTTCGGAGGTAAACTTTAAGTTGCTATGGAGCAATTCTTCCTTTAGGTTGCAATGATGTTGAGCAACTAACGTGGAAACTTAACTAACAGAGAGAGCTCAGTAAATCATATGAGGCTCACATAAAGCAGCTCCAGCAAGATTTATCTGCAGCTAAGAATGAAGCCATAAGAGTAGAGTCAAGTATGGCCAAAGCCCTTACGGCAAAAAATTATGAAATTGAAGCACTTCTCAAGTCAGTAGATTCCCTGAAGACACAACTGGCTTTATCTGAAGGAAATCTGGCTTCACAGTAGGTTCAAGACATCTTTAGCAATTACATACACATGAATTTTGCACAATGTGAAATGATCGGCTTGCAATCTCTCATTTTTTTGCAAAATTTTAGCAATCATCAGTAAAGTTTAATATGTGGTGAAGGAGTATTATGGGTCTGCTGTGGTCATTCTTTTTTTGCTGAAATGTTGTTTGGAGTGCAACATAGCTTTATATTTTTCTTTGCTGCTCCACAGTGTGGCTGCGATTATTTGCATTATGCGCCTTGTGTTGATTATGGTCCGTCAGTTTGAATCTTAATCTTGGTTCACTGATGCATCAAGTCTTTTATACACTGGAGCATGGCTGACTAAGCAACTGCACCAATTATCTTTCAGTCATTCTCCTCTCTAAGAGGTAGGGATTTTTTGAATTCAAGAGGGAAAATCTCTATGGTTTGATATCAGAGGCAATATTGTGAAGTCCTGTATCATAAATGCAACTTACAGTGGGATATTGTAAATGATCTCGAGAAAAGATTGTGTGCAATTAGATTCTGAGATGATACTTTTTACAACATCCTGTTGCTATTATAGTCCTTGAGGAGGAATATTGGAGAATTAGGTTAAGGCTAAGTGAGAATTTCTAGTAATTTCTTGGTAAAATTTGCTTTAACAAATTTCTTTGGCTTTGAATAAACTTTCTCGACTCCACCAGATTTCCTTTTTTTCTTGGTGAAAGTAGGAAGCCCCTAAGGATGCATTAAGAGAATCTCAATGGGAGTCAAAGCAGCGAGCATCCGAAGTCTTCATTAGTGCAAATCAGAAGGACCCCAAGCTGTGCAAAGGAATTTGCCGACCGACCGATACAACCATAGTATCAGTTCTGTAGCTTTTGGTCTTAGGTCTTTGTTTGTGACACGTTGACAGGCGCAATTGTAAACCACTTCTTGGATAACAGGATCAATTTTTACCTTATATAGCCAACTTGACAAAGATTATAAGCAGCTTGCAATTTTTACTATGGCTATTCGGGGTTCACACCCACTTTGTACTGGTTTATACGTTTATACATGAAAAAAAAAAAAAAAAAACCCCAAAACCCGGCCCGACCCTACCCGGATTTTCGCTTTGGGTTCTATGCGTTTTGGGTCGGGCCAGGTCAGAGAGAGCATGCGCCCCTTGTGATTTGGGTCGGGTCGGGTATCATAGAAACCCGACCCGAACCGACCCATTAACACCCCTACTTTGAGCCCCTCCGCCCCCGCACAGGAGATGTTGACAATACACAGATAGGACTCTTGATAGATAAAGAGTCTACTGTTTGCTTTTGCCAGTGGCGGGGAGATAAAAATCATTATCTTTGCCTCTTTTTTGTGTCCGATCAAACACTAAAAATCAAGTCCACATAAAAATTGGATCCGATCTGTATTCAATTTCTGGTTGTCCAGGCAGAAGAGTCCCCTGACAGTGCAGTTTTTTTTTTTTTGGGTCAAATGCAAATACCATTTCATTCATTCAAAGATGGATTACAGGAATGATCATGACTAACGTCATTACAGATTAAAGCCCAAAGGGGTTGGGGGGTTTGTACAGCCAGTTAAAGGGGAGTAACCCTTTGCGATGGGTCTTAGCAATCCAATCTGCGACTAGATTTGTATCTCGTGGACAGTGTGCCAGAGAAATACCTTGCGAATGAGACAAAAGAAGGTTGCATTCCTCAAAAAGTTTTCTCAAAGCCCATGGGCTGAGGGACGGATGCTCTGTGTATCTAACAGAAGCCATGTTGTCTGTCATGATAGTCACTTTCAAAGTTGGACTTCTTTCCTTCTCTGTCTCTTCACGCAGACAGCGTATAGCTTCCCTCACCGCTAAGCCTTCGACTTCCAGAGGAGAACAAGCAGCAACCCCTTTTGCAAACCCAGTAATTATCAAACCCCTATAATCTCTACATACGCCGCCCACCGATCCCTCTGTTCCGCCTTCAATCCACGAGCCATCCACGTTGAATTTCCAATGCCCTGTTTCTGGTTGAGTCCAATGTTCTGTCGAAAGCTTCTCCGACCAGATATTGCGATCGGGAGAGTTCTACGTGAGGTAGAGTCTGCTCATATTGATGGCTTCGTTGACAATTGCTCCCGGTTTGGGGTTGATTCTTTAGAACACATGGGTGTTTCTGGCTTTCCAAATCTGCCATAAAATTCCTGCGATCATAGCTCGGTGGGTCGGATTGCCGCCGGTGAATGCTTCATCTAACCATTTGTCCATTCTTGTTATGTTTGTTGGTGAAACATCAATCTGTACTCTTTGATCAGTCCAGATATGCTTTGTCCAGTCGCAGATTAAGAAGATGTGCTCCACGGACTCTAGAATTTGCCGGCAGATTGGGCAAAGCGAGTCAGTAATTGCCTTTCTTTTGTATAAATTCTCTGAAGTGGGTAGGGCATTTCGGCACACACCCCACAGGAAGAAGCGGATTTTTGGTTCGGTTTGAATTTTCCATATCTTGGACCATAGAGAGCGGGGCTGCTGAAACGATGTTGAGGCTTGTTCTGTTTGTTGCTTAGTATGGGATGCACGAAGACTTGAGTAACCTAGCCTGACCGTGTATTCCCCTGATAAACTGCCATTCCAAATTTGCTTGTCACGTTCTGGATTTGGTAGGGTACGTGTGGCAAGAATTTCATTTACAGCATCTTCCTGGAACAGCGTTCGCAGCTAGTTTACATCCCAAGTTCGTGTCCTTTGATCGATTAATGTTGCTACTGTTTGAGGGTCTTCTCGATTTGCTGGACCTCCTATAAGGTTCTGATTCAGCCACTTATCCTCTCTGATGTGGATGCTCTCGCCATTCCCCACCACCCATTTTACCTCGGGGCTTAATGTATCCCTACCCATTAACAAGCTCTTGCCATTCCCCACGACGGTCGGGACCCCTTTTTTGCTTTCCATAAACATCCGTTAGGGAAGTAGATACCTTTTAGTAATTGGCTCCATAGTGCGGTTGGTTCTTGAGCAAGTCTCCAAGCTTGCTTGCCAAGCATGGCTTTGTTGAAGGTAACTAGGTCCTTGAAGCCCAAACCACCATCTATTTTCCTTTCTTTGAGAGTATCCCACTTCTTCCAGTGTATACCAGATTTGGATGAGTTTTGTTTCCACAAGAATGATGCAATTTTCTGCTCTATAGCTTTACAAACGGAAATAGAGATTTTGAAAATAGACATAGCATATTGTGGGATTGCTTGTACCATCGTTTTGATTAAGATCTCTTTACCCGCTTTTGATAGCAACTTTTCCTTCCAACCCTCCAACTTCATGTTTACCCTGACCAGTATCCACGCGAACATCTGCTTTTTTGTGTGTCCCCAATCGGAAGGAATGCCAAGGTATTTCCCTGTTTTCTCCATAATTGGTACTCTTAGCTTGGCCGCAAGATTGTTTTTAAGGCTTTGAGGGCTGCCCGCATAACAGAATAGACCTGATTTGTTCAGGTTGATAGCTTGACCCGATGCACAACAATATTGGTTTAAGATATTTGCTAGGTTCTAACACTCACCAGTAGTCCCTTCTAGGAAGAATATAGCATCGTCAGCGAATAGTAAGTGTGACAAGGTAGGACAGCTCCTGTTCAGTTTGATGCCCCTTAGAGACCCGTCCTCCACTGCCTTGGATAGCAGGGAAGATAGCACGTTGGCCATGATTATGAATAAGTAAGTAGATAGCGGGTCTCCTTGTCTAATACCCCTTGTTGGCTGGAAATACTGTAATGGCTCCCCATTTACCTTGACGCTAAATGTTGCAGTTGAGATGCATTGTTTCACCAAAGTCACCCATTCCTCACAAAACCCCATTTTCAACATGGTTGCGCAAAGGAAGTCCCACTCCACTCTGTCGTATGCCTTTTGCATGTCCAGCTTTAAGATGGCCTGGAATTTTTGTTTTCTTACCCCAATTCACATTTGATGTAGAATTTCCTGGACTATAATTATATTATCTTGGATGAGCCTACCGCTGACAAATGCACTCTGTTCTTTCGCTATAAGACTTGGGAGCCAGGGCTTGAGGCGGTTCGCCATCACCTTTGAGATGATTTTGTAGCTGAAGTTGCATAGGCTTATGGGTCTGAATTGTGTGATGCATTCTGGGTTAGACACTTTGGGGATGAGCACTATGTGTGTTTTGTTGAGTTCTGGGTCAAGATTGCCTGAACGGAAGAAGGAATTGACTAACCGGTGTAGGTCGTGTTGTAACACCTCCCAGTGATGCTGATAAAACTGGCCATTCATCCCGACAGGACCAGGGGCCTTTGTAGCTCCTTGCTGGAAAGTCGCCTTCTTCACCTCATCTATGGACACTGGGGCCATTAACGTCTCGTTCATACGCTCTGGAACTTGAAAAGTGCATTGTTCTAGTGTTGGGCTGAAATTCCTAATTCCCACGGATTCGTACAAAGAATCATAGAAGCTGGCGATGTGTTGTTTCAGTACAGTGGGGTCTTGACACCAAGTATCATCTATTTTTAACATTGCTATTTTGTTCCTTTGTCTTCGTTGTACCGTTGTAGCATGGAAGTATTTGGTGTTTTTGTCTTCGCCTTTGATCCAATTGATCCGCGATCTCATCCCCCAATACAGCTCTTCCTACTTCCACAAGTTTTGAATTTGCATTTTGATTTGCTACATTTCTCGTTTGCTGCTATCACTAACTGTTGAGTTTGTGAGAGTTGTTAATCTTCTTTTTAATACCTCGATCTGGTTGTAGGCATTAGAGAATTTCTGTTTGCTCCACGAGGTCAAAGCTTTGGTGGTTTTTTCCAGTTTGCAGGCGAAGGTTGCTGGATCTTCCTCAGGGTCGCACCAAGTTTCCTTTACCAGCTTCTCACATTCGGTATCAGCAAGCCAAAAGGCCTCGAACTTGAATTCCTTTTTCCTTATAGCCCACTATGGGTGGAGGGATAAGAGGATTGGACTATGGTCGGAGCCTATTGCAGGTAAGGCGTAGGCTTCCGCGTTTGGGTAACGAACTCTCCAATTAATGTTGCACAGGACTCTATCTAGCCTCTTACGCACTAAAGCTGTGCCTTCCCTGTTCTTGGCCCATGTGAAGGCGCAGCCCTTGCTTTCAATGTCCATTAGTGAGCATTTGTTAAGACATTCTTGGAAGGCAACAAGCCTGTAGTGCTCCGCCAACACCCACCCTTCTTTTCCCAGTGGTACAGTATTTCATTAAAATCTCCAGCGCATATCCAAGGAAGATGATTAGCTGCGTTTATCACCTGTAAATGATGCCACAGTCGAAGTCTTTCCTAGAAGTTTGTAGGGGCATACAGGAAGGTTATTCACATAGGGTTGCCGTTATCTTGTTCCCTACACACTATATCAAAAAACTCTCTGGATTTATCTTCCACTGCAACTGACACCCCTTCATTCCACAATATGGCCAGCCCCCCTGCGGTACCTGTAGGATCGTAAATCTCCATGTTTTGGAATTGTATCCGCCTCCTCACTCTGTCGACTAATTCACTCTTGTTCTTTGTTTCCATAAAAAAGATTAAGTCAGACCTTTCTTGAGCCACTAAGGCTCTGAGGTGCTGGACTGTCAGGGGATTGCCCAACCCTTGACAATTCCAGCTCAAAAGTTTTATATAATCCCTGGTGGCTTATTAGGGCTAGCCACCAAAGCCCATTCGTTCCTTTCTTCTGCCAAATGGATCGGAGCATCTAGGAGAGCCGCCTCGTTGATGGAGGGGCTGAGAATCTCCATTAGACCAATGGGGTTGATCTTTTTCTGTTTTCTAGCTGTTGCTACTTTCTTGAAAGGTTTCGGTCCTATCTTATCCTTTCTAGGCTTCTTTGCCTGCCCTTTCTTTGTTGCCGTCTCAGAAGGGATGACTTGGGAGATGAGCTCCTCAAAGGTAAACTGATTTTTCCTTGAATTCTCTGCTAGAGAGTTCCTCTTACTAGGCCTCTCCTCTTGGCATTTATCCTCGATCATTCCTACAGCAGCATATCCCTTGGAGTAGCGTAATTCTAACTCCCTTGGGATGATTTCCGTACGCGTCTCTGGGATTATCTCCACTTCCTCATGGGTAAGTATGTCTTTTCCATAGAAGATCTTCCAAAATGGGCAGGGTTTTCCTACTTCAGCTCTCAACCATTGCCCAAATTTGCCCCCCCTAACAGTGAAGTTGAGGCGGTCCCTTTTTTTATGCGTGGACGCGAGAATTATTGTTGTCATTGTTCATGATCGTCGTCTTCACTGAGTCAATTCATGGTCGCAAGCATTTACGCTCATGTCTGTCCGCGATAACTGATCAACGACCGGACCGCCATGTATCACCTACAGTGCACGAGGAGCTGTCCCTGTAATCTTGTTCTCCCCATAAGCTTGTACAAAAACAAGAGTTTCCCATTGCTCTCCTCCTCGCGTTTTGTGTACTCACTGCTTTGATAGTCGAAACTGTCACCAATGAGTCCTCCCCACATTCAACTCTTCATCATCTTCATCCCGAGCTGAGAGACAGACCGGACCGATCGTTCTTAGCTACTCCTACCGAAACTTATGCACTGCACAGTGCCGACATCGTCCAAATCGAGATTCGTTCTATCGCTACTAATGGTCATGGAGTGCATCGTCACAAAAGAGTCCTCCCCCACGTCAGCTCTTCATCATCTTCATCCCGAGCTGAGAGACAGACCGGACCAATCGTTCTCAGCTACTCCTACTAAAACCTATGCACTGCACAGTACTGACATCGTCCGAACTGGGATTCATTCTATCGCTACTAATGGTCATGGAGTGCATCGTCACAAAAGAGTCCTCCCCCACATCAGCTCTTCATCATCTTCTTCCCGAGCTGAGAGACAGACCGGACCGATCACTCTCTGCTACTGCTACTGAAACCTATGCACTGCACAGTGCCGACATCGTCCGAACCGGGATTCATTCTATCACTACTAATGGTCATGCAGTGCATCGTGCATCGTCACAAAATAGTCCTCCCCACATCAGCTCTTCATCATCTTCATCCCGAGCTGAGAGACAGACCGGACCGATCACTCTCTGCTACTCCTACTGAAACCTATGCACTGCACAGTGCCAACATCGTCCGAACTGGGATTCGTTCTATCGCTACTAATGGTCATGGAGTGCATCGTCACAAAAGAGTCCTCCCCACATCAGCTCTTCATCATCTTCATCCCAAGCTATTGACCGAAAAAACAGCTTCACCTGTGCACTGCACACTCCCGACATCGTCTTTGTTTACCGAACCCGCTGCTTGTTCCTATTGCTGATTCTTGTTAGTGAAATGAAAAACAAACAAGAAGAAGAAGAATATCCAAAAAGGGAAAAAGAATGAAGTAGGTCCGAAGGTCACACACGCCCGGTGGGACTCGAACCCACAATCGTCTGATTAGAAGTCAGACGCCTTATCCATTAGGCCACGGGCGCTTCACGATCCTGGCATTCCATTCATATATTATTTAAATTAATTCGACATCCCATTAGATTATCGAAATAAATTGTAGTTAAGATGTCTCGTGCAAACAAACTCAAGCTGCACGGCATACAAAAGTTTTATGAATCAGCGCTAGTTAATTTAACGTGGTCCATAATTTCGAAAAATATGATTATAGATGCCTAGGGCCAAAACTCGGCTAGACTCCTCCATGACTTTGTCTTAAACACCTTATGAAAAGTCATAAATCTTTTATATTTGTACCAATTGAGTCATAAACCTTTTGTCATTGTGCCAATTTAGTCCTTCCGACTAATTTTGGCCGGATTTTGCTGACGTGAACGCCGAAGCTGACGTGTACAACTTTTAATAATATTTTAATATTTTTTTAAATTTTTACTTATTTTTTCTTTTTCTTTTTTTTTTCCCTCCCCTCTCTCTTCCTCCAGCCGGTTGCAAACTGGCGACTGGCCAAAGGCCAGCGAGGTCGACCTCGCCAGCCACTATCGAGGCTCACCCTTGCCGAATTCGACAAGGGCCGGGCGAGCCTCACTAGATCCGGTGAGGTCGTGTCTCACCGGCAGCTGGGCAAGGTCGAGGCTCGCCCTCGCCAACGACGGTGAGGGCGAGCCTCGCCAGTGGCCGGTCGCCAGTGGAGGAAGAGGGAGGGGAGGGGGAAAAAATAGAAAAAAAAAGAATAAGTAAAAATTCAAAAAAATATTAAAATATTATTAAAAGTTGTACATGTCAGCACCGAGGGTCGGTCGTTGGCCAACCGGCATCTACGTCAGCAAAATTCGGTTAAAATTAGCTGGAAGAACTGAATTGACACATAAACAAAAATTTTTGGACTCAATTGACACAAAAACAAAAATTTATGACTCAATCGACACAAATACAAAAAGTTTATAACTTTTTTGACACTGTTTTCCTCTTATGAAATGATACTTTACAACGAGAGACCATTGCAGCGACCAGCGAGTATACTCTTTCTCCGCAAATAGTGTGAATTTCACTAGGCGCGTTTGACGGCCCATGCACATGGAAACAAGTACATTCCCAAAGCTCGTGACGGCGATTTTCCCTTTGCATCTTTCCTCCGGGAAGGATCAATTTGGACAGAGATTGTTCTGGTTCACTGCCAATCTCCTTGATCAATGTTCATTTTCACATTCAAAACAAAACATGGTGAAAGGAGCAATGATCAACTGTAAGCGTAATTATTCCCGGAATCATTCTCTTCTCGTGGATAATCTCGCCTCCATCGAAAAGGCTAAAACCTTACTACAGCTCATATTACCAAAGAAAAAATTCGCTAATTACTCAAAACAAATCAAGTGGCTTTGATCTTATTACAAGTAATACGCATCCTTTGTGACACAAGATTGGAATAAGACTGCCAACTACGGCAATGATACACAGTAAAGATGCAATGCCACACTCCGGCAATCGGTTCAAAGCAAACATACGCTGTCCGATCCATCAAATCTACCATGGACCTGTCAGCGTCCTCCTCAAGCAGCACTGCCTCTTATTTTCCCAGTACAGTCCATTCGCCTTCTGTGAGATCTGTTCACAACATATCAGAAGGTGATCATCAGGCTCTCCACCGCAAAGCAAGCGGACTAGTAGCCTCAAGTTTATGGATTATGAATGCTTCACTGAAGTTCTATTACCACAAAAGATATGCCATGGGGATAAGTTCATCAATGCAGATTGTTGAACTGAATTTTCTTGAGGACTCTGGTACACCAAATTTTTGGCCCCGAATCTAAGTGTATGGCGGATTCACCACATAATCTTTATGACGAATGATACACTCATCATTTATTAATTAATTATCGAGGGATACACCCAGGACCCATGGCACTTGCGCTCCTGGCAAGTCCTCTGGAACCAAACAATTCAGTAAGTTAGGTTGCGTTGTCTTGCACATGTAGAGTTTCTCAGTTTCTGTTGCGTGAAGATGATCCAGATAGTTTAACGATCGGCAGGCATAAACAGAGTATGGAGCCATGCAACAAATTATCAGACGACAACACCCATTTATGAAGTAGAAAGATACTATATATGTGCAGGTCCTGATCGGCCGAGTTGCCGCTTCAAACCTACCAGGTTTAACAATATCTCAAGGATTCAAGCAATTACTAACTTGCATGAATAAGAGATTTGATGCTCACGAAAAGAAGAGAAATATTTGTGCATCTTGCTTGAACACGATTTCAAATGTCTTATTTGCTTATTTGCTTGGTCATGATAGAAGCAATAGGTTCAGATGAGGAGTATAAGCGGAAGCTAGACATACCTGATCCTTCTGCATTTCCTTGACTTCAGCCTGTAAGAATAGAAAATATTTGTCATCAAGGGGAGAAAAGAAAATAGTGAACTGCAGTTTGCCTGCAACAGCATCTCAGGTTGGGTGAATTACCTGTTTTCTAAGTAGTTCCTGATTTATTTTTTTCAGTCTTGCAATTTCTGCTTCCAGTTCCAAATTATAGGCCTGCCAGAAATTGAAGAGACTAAGGAGATGAACTACCGATCCATTTCTTAGTAAAATCACCTGAAAAAAAAGCCTAGTCTGGAACATATCTATTTATAAACCTTTATTGGGGATGACTGGGTTCAGCAAAAGGCCTAAAACCTACCCATAGTTTAAGATCAACTCCTAGTTTAGCTTTTCAATGCTTTCCCCAATCTTAGTCCATAGAAATTATACTCCTATTCAAGCAGAAGACACATTTAAACCATGATGCTGTACGAAATATGCATATATTTATCTAAATAGCATCTAGGAAAACAGCTTATGTTTTAAGGAGTTCAACGGTCAGAAACAAAAGAACAATAGTCGTTCTTCTCAAATAAACTTTCAAAAGAGTTATTCTTTAGCTGCGCTCTCAATGATTATGAATGATAGTTTCACCAACTCCTCAGCAGAGGTGCAAACCACGTTAGCTGAAAAATAGGATGACAGCATATGCAGGTTCCAGGCTACACACACGAGATACCCAAGCAAATCACCACAGCAGGATCTGAACTCTTTCATCGGCTTTCATCTCATAATGTTTCCTTGGACTTCTTGATAGCTAAAAACATCATATTTTGCTGATTGGTTTAAAACACAATGGGCTAGCAAGACCTAGCCGGTGAACTTTTCCTAGTCTAATGAAGAGCATAATCAAAGAAAAGCATGTTTCTAGAATCCTCACCTGCTTGCGAGCCCTTGACCTGGCAGCAGACTCCCTATTTTTTATCATTCTTTTGTGCCTTCTCTCAACTGCTTTCTCCAATACATCTTTGGATTTTCTTCCACGGCCAAAAGCATAAGGAACTGGTGACAACGAGGATACATCTGCACTATTGTTGGAAATTGCATCCGGCGATACCAGATTTGCCGGAGATCCAACAGCAAAACCTGTCTGGCCCAAATGTCCTCCAGCCTGGATAGCATCACTGTGAACAAACGTTTTGTTTAACGACGAGTGTGCGATTCCAATCGTATCCCTTGACCCTGGACTTGCTATATGAGCCGTATTTGCTAGATGCACAGAGGATGCAAATGGCACATTTTCCGGCTTAGGAAAAAGCGAAGCCGGTGGTTCAAGTGGCTGTGGCTGTGGTTGTTGCTGTAGCTGAGAAGGTCTAGTACCAATAAAATCCAACGGCGAACCAGCAGGTTTACTAAAGAATATGTCATTGTTTCCAGCAGCCACACTACTGGTGAGACCATTACTAGTAAATCGTGATATTTCCCCATGAAATCCATTGTCACTGGGCCTTGCCATCATTTGTGTGCCCTCCCTCACAATGCCGGCTCTCACTAGGAACTCCTCTAATGTCATCTCTCCCAAAGTCCGTTGCCTCTGTGGCAAATTTATGTCACCTCGTCCTCCGCTCCCTTCTTTCACATCCTCCGTCTCTTTGAACAAATCTCTCCACACTTCATCAACTGTTTTTTGACTAAGAGTCCGCGACAGAGTCAATGACCCCTTTCTCAGCAAATTCCCCACTTGACCACCTCCTTCCCCTCCAATGATAGAAGGCGCCGTGGCTTGTAGTTGTAGTTGGCTATCCTCAGCTGTCCATATGTTCTTCAGGAGCTCATCCATGTTGATTGATCCAAAATCCTTAGTAAGTCCACCCCATGTGCTCTGAAACTCATTGAAAGTCAAGGCATATACCGAGGGTTGTCGAGATAATGGCGGAATTCCTGGTTGCCTTTCAGTGCTTCTTTCGGCTGCTGGCACATCGGCAAAGTTTCCAAAGTTCGTTTGAGGCCCCATTCTGCAAGCTAGAATTTTTACATGCCCATCCAAGTGAACTGGATCAGTTCTTAATACTTAATTCGTTTTCTTCCATTCTCATGTTGAGATCACGAATCAGCGACGAACAATAGAAGCTAGACAGACCGAGGCAGTGTGACTATTCATGCACTTTAAGGTTCAGTTCTAGGAAAGAGATGCTTATCAAATCATAAAAAAAAGTGATAACTGGGGGAGCAAGTGCTTGTTAACCGGCAGGAAACACCTCTGTTCGTTTCCATCCGACAAAACAATCTAAACTTGAAAACGGACACATCATCAAGAAGCTTGTGAGCATAAAAGAAAAGAATCAATTCAAGTCCAAAGTACGCCACATAGAGGACAGAAATTTCAGATAATTTCAAATCAACGAGACTCTGAAGCAGTACAGGGCATGAATTGCCAGACCCACAAGATGTCTCCCTCAACTTCATTGCAAAGACGTCGACCACTTTCTATAACCCGAAGCTCATCAACGCGAGCTAAACTAGACAAGACAAGATCAACTTGATATTGGCAAAAAAAACAGAATCATGCCATAAAAAAAAAGGGGGGGGGGGGGGGGGGGGTTGGAAATCTGCAAAATAGCCGAACCATAAACCTCCGCTAAACTTCACACCTCGAATTCATCACTTGAAAATCTGCAAGCTTTGTCACAGATACAATTAAACAGGAGGTGGGTTCATGAAAGAACACGAATCTAAGAACTTCCCACTTCAGTAAATCGTTTTCCGACCGGATCGCATCAGACCAGACAGCAACTAACATGCACTCGAGCTCGCCAGCCAAGAACAAGAAAATGCATATTGCCAAATATAGAATCAAAACAAGAGCGAAGGGGAGAGTGACGGTTTTTACCTGCGAGGCCGCGACTGCTATTTTGGGTAAGTTGGTTTCCTTCGAGATCGTATCGAATCTGAGAAATGTGTTGGGACATGACAAGTGTCGACTGTGTTCCGTGGCTCGGTCGACACGAGTCGCATTTAAAGGGGTAGATGGTCGAGCTTTTCGAGGCTGGAAAGATTGGATTTTTTTAAAGTTGGAGAGCCACAGATGATTCGTAACGTGGCCCAATGGTAATGGAGCGTTGAAACTTGCTGATGTGACTTCGGACCAATTGGGTTGAGAAGCGTGGCTCCAAGCCTCACCGTTCGAATACGGAAATCTTTATCGGGCAGCATGATGGATCTGAAAAAGATTTCCAGCAATGGAAAAAAAGATCTACTGCAGATGAAGGTTTAATGTTTAACTTATGACACTCGACAAAAGCATGGGCCGGTGAGGTAGGTTTGAGAGAACTTCGAAAGTAAAATTATGAACGGGCCAAAGCCGATATGGGGGGGAGTTACACGCCAAAGAGCACCCCGGGGACGGGCAAGTCGAGGTGTTTGTGGTCCTTTGGAGAGAAATGGAGAAATGGTGAAGTTGGAGATTCTTGGAACGGGGTGGGCTATTGAGACCTTAATGCTCTTTCCACAACTCTATCGGATAACATTCAGTGTGCTATGTTGACAACCTCTATAGACAAAGTTGAGATAAGGTTTGCCGGAACTTCGATTGTGTCGGTGGCTTTTGCCTCAAATCGACTTTTAAACGTGGGTTAATGCGAGACCTTCGTTGAATGAATTGCCACATAACGTGCTTTTGCCGACGCGGCTCGCTGACTAAGCAAAAAATATTGCCGCCTCAATTTAGGTACTGAGTGATGTGAAGAGAAATAGTGTCGACTTGGATGATCTTGGCCATCCGATATAACGATGATTAAGTCACATGGTGTCTCCATCGAAATAAATCGCCGAGACCTACAAAAGGGTATGCTTTGATATCGGATACACAAATCCAATCAAAGAATGTCGGGAATTTTTCAAAGTAACAGGAACATATGCGGAGTCGATGCTTCAGAAGTTAAATGCTTCTTCGTCCCGATGACGCGACAGGCTGTAAGTGGGTTTAATCTCATTGATGCGACAAAAGACTGAGAATGTTCTCTATATAGATGAAAGGCAAAGAAGCAAGGGTGGTCATTGTTGATGAACATGTCCCGATCTGATTAAAGCGACCTGGGACTTTGGCGTGACACCGTGAGCCCCATACATGTGCAGTGCTGATATACGATGGCCCCAGCTTCACAAACATGCTCAGGTCCATGTCAGTATCATACTTTAGTGTGGAAATATCTTGATTATTTTATGTGTTTAGGTGTATTCATCTAGTATTAGATATGAATAGAACCAATCATGGTAACTTTTTCTATCATATCATGGTGGGCGTGGCATCTCCTCCTTGCACCATGTGTTGATGGGTGCTTGCTCTAGAATCAGAAATTCTTAAGCTATGTATGATGTGTGTATATCAATATATATATACATACATATATAGGTGGGATGTTTCAAAATATCTCACCAAATAATTATCTACTTTGAATGATAGAAAAAATGTCAATGGTTTTGTAACAGAGTTCAACTCATTATTCTGAAAATGGAAAAATTACCCAAAAAAAGTCCTAAACGTATTACATTTGTGCCAATTTAGCCTTAAACATTTCAATTTGACTAATTTAGTTCTAAACCATTTAACAATTTGCAAATATAATCCATCAAGGTAATTTTGGCCGGAAATTGATGACGTGGAACCGGCCACCCTACTTAGTAAGGTCGACGTTGACGTGAATTTTTTTTGAAAATTTTTATTCTCTTTTCGAATTTTTCTGATTTCTTTTCTTTTCTTCTTTTTTTATTGTTAAGGGTCGATATGGTGCCACTGGCCACCGAACGAGGCCCGACGAGGGCCGTGACCCTCGCCCAGTTGGGAGCCAAGGCCATGAGCCCTTGCCGAGTTTTGAGCGAGGGCCATGACCCTTACTAGCTGCCGACGAGGGCTTCGCGACCCTCGCCCATGACCAAAGAGGGCTTGCAAGCCCTCACCCAATGGCCGATGGGGTCGCCGGGCCTTGGTCGATGGCCAACCCTTAACTATAAGAAAGAAGAAGAAAAGAGTAGGAAAAAAAATAGAAAAAATTCAGAAATTTTTTTTAAAAAAATTTAAATTTTCAAAAAATTTCTACATCAGCGTTGATCATGCCGTGTGAATAGACTACACTAGCAATTTGTTAAAATTTTTAGGATTAAATTGGCCAAATTAAAAGGTTTATGACTGAATTGACACAAGTGCAATAAGTTTATGACTTTCTTGGCAAATTTCCCTTTTGAAAATTGTCTACTATTTTTCAAGCATCCACAAGTAGGCATGTCCTTGAAAATCATTTTGGAAATTTTGCAAAAAATGAATTATTTTGAAAATATTTTCCTAAAAATGATTGATTCTATCGCTTATAAGAATGAATAAATGAAAACTATTTTCCTCATCGACGAAAATATTTAGAGATACATAAATTGTTGTTTGTGGTAATGAAAATATTTGTCATTGACTAATTATTTTAAGTGATAAAAGCAATCATTTTTCGAAAAATATTTTTCAGATCATTCATTTTTTACGAAACAAATAAAATTTAAATAAAGCCATTAGTTGCCTTCACTTGATTCTTTTTCTATATTTTGAGAATCTGAGGTAATTAGGCAATATATATCATGAAAAAAATGATTATCCCAATCGTATAATGAAGTTGACTACTTAAAACTAAAGCCTAGTGATTAGATTTGCTTGAATTACTTCGTTCAAGGCATAGGAAGTAAGTGGGTTTGAGTAGCAAATATTAGGAATGATCCGAAATTAGAATAAGAGTATTAGCGTGAATTCGACAATCAATCTCGCGCCAATGAATCATCACGCACAATTTGCTATCAATCTCTCATGCCACTTGTTTGAGTCAAGGTCCCGACTTAATTGGGTCATTGGCTAGCAAGAATTTCATGAATCTCGAGGTTTAATCGGATAAAATCCGAATCATCCGGTCATTAAGAGTAAAAAAAAACAAGAAGAAGAAATTGCTCGAGTTAATGGCAAGAGACTATTTATCAATTTAGGGAAAATAACACAAACAATCCCTGAACTTTAGCCCAATATACAATATGGTCTATGAATTTTAATTTATTCAATATAGACCATGAATTTTAATCCAATGTGCAATGTGGTCCCTAAAACTTTTGATACATATTCGATTTAGTCCCCGAACTATAGAAAAATATTCAATATAGACCTTCCATTAATTCAAGTTCATGGACTATAGTGAACATTTTCATATAATTCGGGAACTACATTAAACATTATGTCAGAGTTCAAAGACTCAATTGTATAAATTTAAAGTTAAGGGATCAAATTACACACTGAGCTAAAGTTTAGAGACTATTTGTGTCGCCGTCCCATCAATTTATTTTGTTCTCTTAAATAATTATTAGGGATTTATTACTTTAAATTGAAGAAGGCTTATAATCAAAGAATGAAAGATCAAATCAAGAATATTTTATTGAGGAGGCCACCAGATTCAGAGCTGGCAAGAGAGAATAGGACGGTCAACTTGCCTATCTGGACAGAAGGTACCAGAACCAATTCTCAGCTTACATGTCAAGCAAACACTAGCCGAAAACGACACCCCACGACACCTCGTCGACTTCTTCTTCTTTCTTTCCCGAAGTTTAGCCCTAATTTTCGCACAAAATAATAGATATATTGATAATTTTTTTTAAAAAAAATGAAGAAGATAGAGTTGCTCAAGCTGGACATGGAGTGGATTAGTTCATAAAAAATTTAGAATGACTTTATGACATTCCTTTCGATGAGAAAATGATGATTTTAAAGGGTTAGTTCGAAACTTAGATGATACCTTTTTTTTTTGTTTTTAAATCTTTTAGAGATGATAATAACCACGTGTGATATCCGTAAAAACAATGGGAAAATTACTAAATTTGTCCTAAATTTATTGTACGGATTCGGTGAAAAACTTTTTGATTTTGCCAAATTAATTTTAAATCTTTTTCGCGAAATTCCAATATAGTCATTCCAGTCAACTTTTACCGGAAATCTCTGACAAGACAGTCTAGTCATCGTCGATTTCTAGTGAAAATTGGCTTACAAAGACCATAACAAAATTCCACGCAAAGATTTTAGGACTAAATTGGTAAAACTTAAAAGTTTAGGACATAATTGACATCCGTAAAATAATCTCTAAATAATTTCCCCTTAAAAAAAACAAATGTGCCCATTAAAAATAATCTTAATCTCTATTCAAATGACTCCAACCATAGACATAGTACAATTATTATGTTGCTTTTATGAGGCAAGTGCATATTTATAAAGTTACTCCAATTGTGATATGACCTAGGTATTTGAAAATTGGAAAGAAAGAATATGCCAATAATATCAAATCATGGGCAGGTCCAAGCAAGACACAGCTCGTCCCTCTAACAGTCCAACGTGGCCGTAACGTATTAACTAAGTTACCAAATCTTCGTTCGGTCCTAATTATTGGCAATATCTCAATTCCTTATTGTGATAATAACATTAACGGTATTTGAACTTTGACCCAATGTACAATGTAGTCTCTAAAATTTTAATTTATTCAATATGATCTTTGAATTTTAGCTTAATGTTCAATATATGTAGTCCCTGAATTTGTAATCCGTTCAATTCGGTCCCTGAACTTTTGGTACTTGTTCAATTTAGTTCCTAAATTATATGAATATGTTCAATGTTGGATCAAACATTAGGAATCATATTGAATAAATTAAAAGTCTAAAGACCACATTATATATTTAATCAAAATTTAAGAATTATTTGTGTTATTTTCCCTAACTTGTTCTCAAAAGTGGCAATATATCTTGGGCCTCCCTATAAAACCTCCCTCACCCGACAAAAACATCCTTAAATCTCGTTCTTTTCCAGTTTTTTCGAGCTTCCAAAACACTCCGCCGGCCGCCGTCGCCGCCGCCGCCGCCACCCACCGGAAGAGGCGGCCGCCCATGTCGAGGCCCAGCGCGCCGCCCACGAGGCTGGGGCCGCCGCAACGGCCGCTCCACAAGCAGCACTCGTGGTCCCCGGATGTGCTCCGGGAGGAGGCGTGGCAGAGGCGGAAGGGGAGCTTCAAGGGCCGGCGCCGCTCGAGCGTGACGGACGACGACCTCGACGAGCTGAAGGGCTGCATCGAACTCGGGTTCGGGTTCAACTCGCCGGACATCGATCCGAAGCTCTCCAACACCTTCCCGGCGCTGGAGCTCTACCATGCGGTCAACAAGCAGTACCACAAGAGCTTGTCCAGGTCGTCGTCCGTCGAGTCGTCGCTGTCGCTGTCGTCCCTGGTCTCGGACAACGACGCCGAGAGCACCAGCGCCATATACGATCCAGGTACGCACGCACACAATACAGATCGATGAATCAGAGATCGAAACATGAAGGGCATGCTGCATCGTTCTTTTCCTTAACACCTTTTCTCGATCTTGAACCGAAGGTGATGATCCGGAGACGGTGAAGACGAGGCTGAGGCAGTGGGCGCAGATCGTGGCGTGTTCGGTGCGGCAATCTCCGTCGCCTTCCTCCTCACATTGATCGGCGGCATCGGAGGATACCAAAAAACCAAGTGTTGTATATAGGAAATTGATAATACAGATAGCCCGAGAGGTCTTGATTTGATCTTCTCAGTCAAAATTTGTTCGATAACATTCCCTTTTCAATCAATAGAAAAACTCCAACGACTTCATTCTCATCTGGGTATTATCTCTGCAAATTGAAAAGAATTTTTGCTTTTGAATCTTGTGATGAGGATGAAGATGGAGTAGGAGAGAAGACCGTCTGTCAATGGAGGCTGTCAAGAACTCAATAATTTCGACAGGATTTATTTCCTTTTTTTGGGAGCACAATCATGGTAAGACATATTAATGTTTTGGACTTTTGTTGGCAAAATAATTAGCTGGCAGAATAACGTTAGGTTTGAGCGGGATGTCGTTCGTATATGGTAGATGTTCTTATTATAGGAAATTCGGATATATCACCCAAAAAAATTAGTTTTGAATTCCTGATAAATATGGCAAAATAATAAATAGGATAGGGGTCGAATTAACGGACCGATTGAGATGACTCGAACCAAGATATGAATCCTCAGAAGCCCTCTAGCTTCGTCATGCGTTTGATCGGACAATAGAGGTGGAATTGCCTGGTGCATGAGAGGGTTAAAGAATAATTATACAATCGAAGTGGATTCTCACAAAAATTTTAAGTTGGGTATGCACGAACATTAAAATTAACGCGTAGTATCTACCTCTCCAACAAATTGAAGAATGAAACTCAAGTCCCACGGGCTCCACAAATGTGCCCTTTTTATGGACATACTTAGATCCCGAAAAAACATGTTATATCTCACGTCCTAATTGTGAGTTCCATGTCGCGGTTAAATTGGGCCACTGGCATGTGTATCTACGAGATGTGCCAATACAAAAAAGATGCAGGTCTTGGATTGGACGCACTCGAACGAGGGTGGGCTTCTTGCACTCGGGAAGGAAGCCCAGAAGTCTATGAGCAATGTTTAGGAGAAATGGACCAGGTTTGAAGCCCAGTTCAGTCACCAGATGTTCTGCTGTGTCATGACGAATTCGATCGATCCCACCCACCAAGCATCTCCATATTCGCTCAAACGTTTCGTCCCAGCTAAATGATGAAACATGCATACGAACATCCACCGGTGAGATGTTTCATTCCGTTGTGAAGGCGAATGTTTTGCAACGTGCAATAATGCGATGGGCAAGCTGGTTTTTCTCCGGATGTTTATACACACGAATAGTGAATATATCATGACAATAACATGCATGATTAAGCCTATCCACCACCACCGCTACTTTAATGATGAACTCGCCATGATTAATTTTTAAACAGCCGCCCGTGAAAGATCTGTCATGAAGAATAGCATCCGTGCTTATTATGATACCCCTACGTATCTCTCCGTTAACAATTATTTTCCTTAACATCGGATATGTTAAATAAATCATTTTTATCGAGTGTTTTGATAGAGCTAACTTAGAGAGACCATACTAGAGAAATCAAGTGATTATGTATAAGATACATGAACACATGACACGTTACCGTACTATTAAAAGTCACGATACGATCACATCAATGATCTCTAAACGAACCCATTACACCTTCCCAACTGATGGAGCAACTTAAGTGTTATCTTCACGATTAAATAGACCATCCATCACCAAACCTACTGGGCCTCCCGCAACATCAGATCCGAGGGAACACACTTGATCTGCAGGTCTACCCACTTTGTGTCTGGCACTGTGTGCTTTTTTCCAGATTTTCATCTTTTTGGCCGAGTGAACCAGCAGACCTACCTGACCCCTATATCTTCTTCGTTTCTTTGGAAGGCCTGAGGTAAGACCCACCTGGCTTGGAAGTTGGAACTTTGCTTGTGCGAGTGGGGGAACTGCGAACTGGGGAAAGGGGGTTGGTTCTAGGAGTTGTTTTCCACCCCTTGATGAACGACAGTGCGCATTATTTTATTTGCGGGATTTGAATATTCAATCAAATTCGTCCGCTTGCATTGACTTCCGAGGAGAAAAGTCCCTGCTTGCGCTCTGACCTCTCCCACAGCAACGTCCTCTATTACGTTTCCCCATACGGCTGATGAAACCGAAGAGAAGACGAGGAGACACCCGAGACCCATCAGGCTTTCTTGTCCCGGGCCCTGGTTCGCTTCTTTGAAGTCATCTCCGATCTCCCAGTCCCAGCTTCCGAGGGAGGAGGTACTCCGGAACCCCGTAGCGTTTTCCGAAGGAGATGGAGAAGTTGGCGAATCTTGCTTCGAATCAGAGATTCTCCAGAGCCGCGCATACCCACGAAGCTCCGCCCCTTGCCAACGGAAATCTGGCGGCACCCAAGAAGAAATGGACCAACTTCATGCCCCTCTTCGTGATTCTCGTGGTGGTTGCGGAGATCGCGTTTCTGGGTCGGCTTGATATGTCCAAGAACGTGTCTCTGGTCGATTCTTGGGCCGATGTGTTCCACCGCTCGCATCCTGCGGGCGAGCTGCCCCTGAACGGCGAAGATTTTTCCGTAGCGATGGAGAATAGTGACCGGAATTTGGGGTCGGAGACGGAAAGCTGCGAGGAGTGGTTGGAGAAAGAGGATGCCGTGGTCTATTCTAGGGATTTTGACAAGGACCCTATTTTGGTTTCTGGTCCTAAGGAGGTACGGTCTATATTCATTTGTTAGTTCTACGTCAAATTGTTTCCTTGTTCGATCCATTAAGTTCGTCAATTGTTCTGCATGTTACTTTTATGATAATGAGTAACTATAGAGGATGCTGTATTTTTGGGCTTTTGGCTACATATAGTGTGTCGATTGAATTGTTTGGTGTAGTTTGGATTCTTGAAAATGAAGTTTTTCTGAAACTGATTTGGAATGGACAAGCAAGAAATAAATGCTTAGCTACTGAGTCATGATACACATAACACAAGGAATATAAACAGGCTAGGAATTGTACCTTTCATTACTATCTTTGCTTCTCTTCCATGTTTACTTCACTCGTACTGGTTCCTGTCTATGTGAAGTGAGAGTTTTAAAAAACCGAGCATTCGAGAAGGAAACTGCCGCTATAAAATGACATTGCCGTTGCATACGCGGGGATGTTCAAGTTTGGCAGTTATTGTTTGTAAATTCATATCTACTTCCTTTAGCTGGTACCGTTATTATCTCAAGGAAAAATTCTAGTTCCACTCCTTTAGTCTGGATTGGTTTTAGCTATGTGTTTGAGCATTCCACTTGAGATGTTGGTGTTCCTCTCTATGCTTGAATAGTTGTGGTTCAACTCTGACTCTTGGGCGTGTTTCTAGCACAATGCCATAATGAGTTGTCAGTGTGATTTGGTTGGAATGATTCTTACGATATTATGCTAAAATCTAGACATCCCTTGGCATCCTTATGATACAGGAGTGGACGACATGTGCTGTCGGATGTAAGTTTGGGTTCAGTCCAAATAAGAAACCTGATGCGCAGTTTGGATTGCATGGGGAAGCCAGAACAGCTAGTATACTTAGATCAATGGAGTCTGCACAGTACTATTCAGAAAATAATATAGCTCAGGCACGACGGTGGGTAAGCACTATCTAAATTGACTTGATTGTACTTTTGAAAGGTGTTGTAGGTTCAAGAAAATTGTGTAGACCCTATATTGGAGTTATTTCTTTGTTATCATATGTTGGACAGATGCTGTTGCTATATAAGCTTTTTTAAGAATTAAGGGAAGCAATGAGCTTGGTTTAATTCGCCCCATGCATGAGCTTATCCATTAGAGAGAGAGAGAGAGAGAGAGAGAGAGAGAGAGAGAGAGAGAGAGAGAGAGAGAGAGAGAGAGAGAGAGAGAGAGAGAGAGAGAGAAAATGGTTGGGACTGTTGTTTAGAACTGAATCACTTTGCTTGTCATGTGTAATCTGATAATTTCATTTATAGTGAACGTGGAGAGAAGATGTAGCCTTGAGGTCTTAGTCTGCTACCAGCATGTAACATGGGAAGAAGTTCAAAAGTGTGTACTTCTGAATAGCGTGCAAGTAGTTATTTTGCTAACGAGCAGCAAGGTTGTGTATTTCACGATCGTAAATCTCGTTTATCACCAAGTATCTGATAATTAATTTCCACCTATCAAAACTGCGACATCAAACCGAACTCCATGATCCGGAAGTGGTTTACCTGACTACTAGATCTAAACTCAGAATTACTCAGATCTCTGCCAAACAATCTCGTGCAGTGAATTAGAATGATCTGGAAATGGTCCGATTAACATGCGTAATTCGGAAAGTCAATGTGTTTGCTTTACTGATCCATGAGGTCAAACTTTCGCTGTTATTAAGGTAAGAACATTTGATGGAAGGGACAGAATAGTTTTTTTTTTTTTTTTGGGGTAAAGGAATAGTTTATAGATTAATTACACAAGAAACTTTTTTCTTTATAGATTACGATGATTATGACTGATGCTGCCTCTGTATACGTGCGCCGGATTATACTGCTAGCAGAATGACTGGGTTGCATGCATCACTCTCCATTCCTTTTCTTGCTAATTTTCTTTATTTTGATCTTAGATGTTTTGTGTTACAGGCGGGGTATAGATATTGTGATGACGACTAGTCTTTCCTCTGATGTTCCAGTTGGATATTTTTCATGGGCTGAGTATGATATTATGGCTCCCGTGCAGCCAAAGACTGAGAATGCCATCGCAGCTGCCTTTATTTCTAACTGTGGGGCTCGAAATTTTCGGTTGCAAGCTCTCGAGGCCCTTGAAAAGACTAAAATCAAAATAGATTCATATGGTGGCTGCCATAGAAACCGAGATGGGAGAGGTGAGTGCGTTTATTTTTAGCTGCTCAATCTGAAAATGTTAACTGTTATTTATAGAAATATTTCTTTAGTTTAGATTGTATAACATTGTGTGAAGAAAGAGACTGTCATTGTCACTGACTCACTGGACAGCGTCTCTTTATTAAATCTTTGTGGCTTCCTTTGGCCTTGTTCACGTGATAAACAAATGGATTGGGGATTGGGGATGTTATAAGCAAACTGACACTTCTATTAGAATGATGAAGGTTAGCTCTATGCTGTTCTATGAAGCTGTGCATCTCACCCGTGCATTTTAACATTTGAACGATTGATCTCTTTATATTTCGTATGGAACGCAAATGGTGAAATTTTGTTTTAAAGAGTAGGGCCAGCACCAATCGACTCTCTAACCGACCTAATTAGATTACCATGAGAAATTGAACTCCTAATGAGTCCAGAAGTTGAGAAGCATATCGTCCTGCATGAAGTATTGACACTCAAATGTGTGAGAATCCTGTATCTGCAAGTTTTTCTGACCAGCTATTTTGCAAAAGAGAACAGAGTTGGATGGAGCTATTCATATCTCCTTACTATGTTTATGGTATTTTGCAGTGAACAAAGTGGAAGCTCTGAAGCGCTACAAGTTTAGTTTGGCTTTTGAAAATTCTAATGAAGAAGATTACGTCACCGAGAAATTCTTCCAATCGCTTGTCGCCGGTAAATGGTGTTCTTTGTCTTTTAGGTTGTCCGATAGATATATTTTTGTTGAAAAGTTGACCCTTTCTCCTATTTGATCTCCTTGGTGTTTCTCTCTTTTTGGGATTTCCCAAATGTGAATACCAAGTTATCTGGATTTCAGTACACTACTTTTTCTCTTTGGGGCAATCGCTTGGATTGTTTTGGTCCATTGAGCAAGTTTGTCCCAGACAGACATTGGCAAACATATCCTATCTGTTTGTAAAATTTGAGTAAGTCGATTACCTTTTAACTGTGTCGCAATGCTGAAATAGTTGCGACATAACAAATTCTGCAGGTTCTGTTCCTGTGGTTATCGGTCCACCAAACATTGAGGAATTTGCACCAGCTCCTGGTTCATATTTACTTATCAGGGAGTTAAACGATGTTCCAGAAGTTGCCAAGAAAATGATGTACCTCTCAGAGAATCCTGTTGAATACAACCAATCATTAAGGTACTGAAATGCTCATTTTGTTCTGATTCTGAGGATATGTGACTTGAGTTGTTCTGTGCTTTGGAATTGCAACTAATATTGCTCCTGAAGGACTTATAATATGAATTTGGCTCTATTAGGTGGAAGTATGAGGGTCCATCCGATTCTTTCAAGGCCCTCGTGGATATGGCAGCTGTTCACTCATCATGCCGTCTTTGCATTCATCTTGCTACCACGATCAGGCAGAAAGAAGAGAAAAGCCCAGGTTTCAAGAATCGTCCATGCAAGTGCACTCGAGGCTCAGAAACTGTATACCATTTGTTTGTGAGAGAAAGAGGGAGGTTTGAGATGGTGTCCATATATTTGAGGTAAGCACCTTGCTATGTATTAAACTATTGCAGCACAGCAGTAATTTCTCTATACATTTGACATGTAGGATAAATTTATCGGTTCATCGCTTTGTTAAACCTAATCCTCTTTGATGTTCCTTGTTTGATATGCCGGAAGAATTTTCAACATACTTAAATGCTCATACAGAAAACTCACGCTGGAGGCCCTGGAGTCTGCAATTTTGAGGAAGTTCACTTCTATGAACCATGTGCCAATTTGGAAGGAAGAAAGACCTGAAAGCATAAGAGGAGGAAATGAACTTAGAATTTACAGAATATATCCTGTTGGCTTGACGCAGAGGCAGGCTCTGTATACGTTCAAATTCAAAAATGATGCCGACCTAAGGAGTCACGTGCAAAGCAACCCATGTGCGAAATTTGAAGTGATTTTCGTCTAAAATTAGTTTCTCATCCTGACTACAGTTTGGCAGAGTGGGCCATTTGTGCATTTCCTGCTGTGGGAATTCGCGAGGAGCTGAATATGGAACTAATCGGACCGATGCCTTCCGGTGCACCATCCTCTTTTGCATATCGTGCTCATGCGAGTGATGGATGGAGCGATAAATTTATCTAAGAATTGACAGAATATTTATCGAGCTCGCTGTGGCAAGCTCAGACATTTGATCATTGTGTTTGCCCAGGACAGAAGCTGGATCTAAATTATTTAGGTGCAGGGCATTTAGATCAGTTCTCGGGACATATCCTTCGATGTATTTTTTTTTTTACTCTTCGAGGTGGCAATACAGATATTCACGGTTCAAATCTTGATCTTCTACATACGTTCTGTCCTATGTAGTTATGGAACTGGAAGAGTGATGGACATACTCCACCACAACAATCCAGGTTGATGTGTTGATATTATGCTTCGCCTTTGAGATTGCAGATCTAGAAAGCTTGGCACTTGACCGCTGTAGTTGAACTTAGGTCTTCTGACATAATTATTAGAATGGCACAAAATCCATTTGGAAGTCTCTTTGTCTGAGGAACACCTCAGAGAGAAGAGAAAATGGTTTGGAAGCGAGACGAGTGATCTTTTTCAAAAAAAAAAATTTAAATTATTTATTTTTCACGAAATAAATGGATCACAATTCTCAAAATCTTGTTCATCTTATCATAAGTTGAAGCCAGACCTGATGAGGAGTTTGGTGGCAAGCCTATTCCTTTTGTAAGAAGTTTCACTCACTTGGGTTCGTCGGCCCCGCTCAAGTCCAGACATTTTACAAAGAAAGTTTATCTGTCAAAACACGCAAAAACCTTTCTAAATTATTTATTTTTCGCGAAATAAACGAAACCTTAACTTTCAAAAACTTGCTCCTCCTATCATATGTTGCAGCCAGATCTGATCAGGAGCCTGGTGGCTCATTGGGGCCGCTCGAGCGCACCAGGTCCGAAGCACAATTCGACGGGTGTGGTAATCGGCAAGCCTATTCCTATTGTAAGAAGTTTCGCTCTTCGTTAGGCTCGCTCAAGTCCGGATTTTTTACAAAGAAAGTTTATTCGTCAAAACACGCAAAATCTTTCAGGGCCAAAATCCCATCCGGTGCTCCTATCATTGATCAGGTCAATGTTGAAGTGGGTGCATTGCAGTATCTGACTTTTCTCTTCTGGTTCAAATCATATTCCATTTAGATCTGGGGAGATCCTTCCTAGACTTGATTACAGGACGGTTGGAAAATTATCCAAAACATTTTAAATGTACAACACTTTTATCAATTCAATCCTAAATCTTTTAATTTTATCAATTAAATTCTAAAATTTTTTCAAATTTTGCCGATTGAATTCATCTACCTAATTTCGATCGGAAATCACAGACTTAAATGCCGTCCACCGACCGGCGTTAACGTGGAGAATTTCTAATAATATTTTAATATTTTTTCGATTTTTTTTAATTTTCTTTTTCCTTTTCCTTCTTAACTTTTGTTAATTTTTTTTTATTGTTAAGGCCGACAGGGCCAAGGCCTGGTGACCCCTGTCGCCATTGGGCGAGAGCCTATGAGCACTCCTCGCACGCGACCGATGAGAGCCGCGAGCCCTCGCTCAAATCCGAGCGAGGGTCGTGAGCCCTCACTAGTCATGGCGAGGGTCGCAGCCCTCACCCAGATTTGAGTGAAGGCTCATGGGCTGCGTGCAAGGGCAGCGAGCCCTCACCGGTCACTAGGCAAGGATCACAGCCCTTGCCGAGTGGCTAGCAGGGATCGCTGAGCCTCGGCCAGTGGCCCCCCGGCCGGCCTCAACAATAAAAAAAAAGGAAAGAAGGAAAAAGAAAAGAAAAAATTCAAAAAAATTAATAAAATATTCGAAAGATATTAAAATTATCTACGTTAGCGCCGGCTGTATCACGTAGGACGGCTAACGTTTATGTCAGTGATTTCCAGCCAATTTGGGCTGGATGGATTCTATTGGCAAAATGTAAAAAAGGTTTACGACTCAATTGACAAAACTAAAAAGTTTATGACTAAATTGGTAAAAGTGTAGTAGGTTTAGGAATTTTTGAACAATTTTTTCTATGATCGTTTCACCAAAAACGATGAACTATTTTTTCAAGAATGTGGATGATCGACAAAAGTCGCCGTCATTTATTGATTTTGGATAGCAAAGTAAATGATAAGAAAATTAAAGGTACGTAGACTAAAGGCAAGTCATGTAAATTTTCTGGAAAATAAAGATAAAATAAATTTGCAAAAGAACATTGAGTTCTTTGATTAATTGAAGATCATTTACAATAAACACATTTGGGTATTTATAACGTTCTACAAATCGTTCATACAACCGTTACTGAATTTGAATAAAGAGATAACTTTCTAACGTAGTTACAAGAAGGTACACAACCTCTTATTATCTTATCCACAAAAAGTTATACATATCTTAAAATAGCGGCAATAAACAAAACACCCAATAGTTAGTTTTTCTTCGACTACCCGTTGTCGATGACTCCGTCGATCAACTTTCCAAGTCTTGATGAAGGCTCTCGTCAATAATTTTCACGTTGTGTGTTGTCTATTTTATTGACAAGTTGTCAATTCATGACTAAGCCATCTTCATTGATTGAGTTTGTCACCTTATCGATAGTAACTAAAAGTTGGATCATTTTTATGATGTCAATGAGGACATTATTGAGCCAAATCGAACTTTAGCAACAGATGGATAGAAAACGCCTGTGTGTATCAATCTTCGGGGAATCATCGTACTTTTCTTTTAGTCGAAGAATCATCGTACTTAAAAAATGCTGCTCCTGATTATTTTAATGGTGGGCAAACAAGGAAGGAAGAGGAGCAGCAGCACTGGACCGTCGTTACTCCTCACATAAAATAAGCCAAAACCCTTTTCTTTAATCCTAAGACGATAGACAATTCACGACTCCATAGTTCAGGAACCATAGTCTGTCAAGCCCTGGAACTTTCATTTTACAGCAGTCGAACTCTCCCTCAGACTCGCAAATTGACCTCATGAGCTGGACGGGGCTCGCTCTTTTCCTCGTCTCTTCAATCATCTTCTTCTCATTGAAGTCCGGGGGGTCACGCGTTGCGAGATTCCCTGTGTGGCGGCTGTCACGGTGGGGTGACCTTTGGCTGCTTTGAAAAGGTGCCCGGCCTCTCAATTCCTGCATGAGCCCACGTGTCCCTTAGGCCATTGGTCGCCTCGAAATGGCAGCCATAATTTTCTCAAGTTGTCTTCTTCTCTCCTTGCTTTGACGTTGTCCTCCGCAAGCCAGGGAGGACTGTCCTTTTCAAAACCTAAATGATGTTATTAACTTATTATGACTGTAAGACCTTGGAGAAAATAATGAAATAATACCCAGAAAAACACAGAAGTTTTGCTGTGTGGAGACATTGAGCTGAGAGTTAATAATCTTGAAAGAGCAGGAAAATGAGGGAGGAAAATCCCATAGCATGAGTGAGTTATGGGAGGAACAAGAGCATTGTCATTTGGACTCTCATGCAGACTGTACTGATAGGAGTGATCATCGATCATTTTGGGGTCAGCTAGACAAAATTTTACTGGAGAAGATAGTGATCACTTCCTGATTGGTCAATAAGTTTTGGGTTGGAAACCATTGCTTGTCTTTTCTTTTTGTCCTTTTTCTCCGGCTGGAGCACCACAAGAAACGACAGATGTTCCTCGCTGATAAAGATTTCTTTGGTTCTTTTCCGCCCATGGTGGGACAGTCCTGAGGGAGAGTAACACTCAATAGGCCAAATTGGTCGATCAAAACTAATCGGCAAGAGACGGAAATCTTATGTCGGAAAACCAGAATCGGTAAACGTCTGTTAGCCCACTGGTTGGTCTCCCACGAGTAGCTTCGTCACCTTCTTTACAAATGCAAATGGAGAGACTAAACTTAGCTTTGCTAGTTTTAAAATGAACCCTTGACAAATGGCAAAAGTCATTTGATCCTGCAGCCCGAGTCGCAGCCACCTCCTCCTCCTCCTGACCCAGATATAGTAAAAGATGGCAGAAACACAAAATGGAACGGCAATAAAAAATATGGAAAGTATTTGGATAATACCATGCAGTAATAAGGACAATCTGAACATTTTATCCCTTCACCCACCATGCATCTCCATCTCACCTCAGGGGGACCAAAAAGACGAAAAATAGTAACTGACCTTTAGCAACACCCAAGAGGCCATTTATTCAGCTTCTCTTCTTCCTCTCCTTTCCATCTCTCCTAAGGTCCCCAACAATAACCTTCATAAGGCCTAGAAGATGCTAACATCTATGTCTGACCCCATTGAAGCACATCACAAACAAGAAGCTCTTGATCTTGAGCAACGCATAAGCATTGCACCATGTCTTCCATGTCCATCCGCTTTCTCTCATCTCCCTTACCACGTCAGAAGAGCTCAGCTTCTCTCTCCCGGACAAAGGTGTATGCAGCCACCTCCCCAACGGCTGCCCCACCTCCGCCAGGGGTGGAGGAGGCAGACGTGGCGAGGCTGGAGCCGAGGGTGGAGGAGAGAGATGGGTATTGGGTGCTGAAGGAGAAGTTCAGGCAGGGCATAAATCCTCAGGAGAAGGTGAAGATTGAGAAAGAGCCGATGAAGCTGTTCATGGAGAATGGAATTGAAGAGCTTGCTAAGATGTCAATGGAAGATGTCGACAAGGCTAAGGACACTAAGGAGGATATCGATGTGAGGCTCAAGTGGCTTGGCTTGTTTCACAGGAGGAAGCATCAATGTGAGTCTACACCTTATTTAATATGTTTGTATTCCAATATGATCTGCCTATATTTCTTTTCCTTATATGCTCTACTGAGTTGTTTAGGACTTGGATGCATTTAAAGAAACAAGTACACCACAAGAGAATAGGAGGAGTCATTCCTAGCGGAGGAAGATAGTGCTTGACGATCTGTAGGTCAAGGTGTCAGTGATTAGCAATATGCATACGAGCTTTGGTATTGAGGGTTGATTGATCATCCTCTTCATAAGAGCTCGTGTCCCATTCAATCTGAATAACCTCACAAGCTGAGAAATCACCCTTTCTATTCTCTCCATCAGCACTGGTGTTTGCTTTTTTGAATTCTTAAGAAAATGCGTGGCACATCAGCTGCAGAAAATCTCCGACATTTATGTGACCCTGCAAAAGTAAGATAATTGATAGACCAGTCTTTACCAAAGTACGGACCATAGGGATAAAGGATATAATACTTGCAAATAGTTTGCTGAACAAATGGCGAGGTCACCTAAAGTGCTAATCTGGTCTCGTTATAATTTGCGTCTCTGGTGCTTAGATGGTAGATTCATGATGAGGCTGAAGCTGCCAAATGGGGTGACAACAAGTGCACAAACTCGATACTTGGCGAGCGTCATCAGGAAATATGGAAAAGACGGGTGCGCGGATGTGACCACCAGGCAGAACTGGCAGATCAGAGGGGTGGTTTTGCCTGATGTTCCGGAAATACTCAAGGGCTTGGCTGAAGTTGGCTCGACCAGCCTCCAAAGTGGCATGGACAATGTGAGGAATCCTGTTGGAAACCCCCTGGCAGGCATCGATCCTGACGAGATAGTTGATACACGGCCTTATACTAATCTACTGTCCCAATTCATCACCGGGAATTTCCATGGAAATCCTGCCATTACAAACTTGTGAGTTCTTTCTGTTTCAGTTTATAGCTTTGACATTCTTTAGCATGATCGTACTTTGTTATGACCGATTGTCTTCAGGGGTAACTAACTATCATGTTACTGCAAATTGGCAGCAATTAAGTAGCGCATATATCGGTCAATGAATCTAAGATAGCCTTTTGTCGAAAAAAAAATTATAAGAGAGCCACCAAAATGACTTATTTGCAAAGTTTTTGACTTTACAATGTTTCAATCAATGAGCTCATGTGCATTGATACTGTGCAGGCCTCGGAAATGGAATGTCTGTGTGATCGGTTCTCATGATCTTTATGAGCATCCTCACATCAATGACCTTGCCTACATGCCTGCAACGAAGAATGGACAATTTGGATTCAATTTGCTGGTTGGTGGATTCTTTAGCCCCAAGCGTTGTGAGGAGGCAATTCCGCTCGATGCCTGGGTCTCAGCAGATGATGTAATCCCTGTGTGCAAAGCTGTTCTTGAGGCCTACAGGGATCTTGGAACCAGAGGAAACAGGCAGAGGACAAGAATGATGTGGTTAATTGATGAACTGGTAAGCAATGATGGGGTTAATTCCAAATGGATGTTTTATTGCTCTTCTAAGAGGTCTTACCGGTTAAAAATTTTAGTTTTTTCATCCTCTTAATCTGATGAACATGTGAACTCTCCAAAATATATGCAGGGTATTGAAGGATTCAGGTCAGAGGTAGAAAAGAGAATGCCCCACCAGAAACTAGAAAGAGCATCCCCTGAGGACCTGGTTCACAAGCAATGGGAGCGAAGGGATTACCTAGGGGTCTATCCTCAGAAGCAAGAAGGATTTAGCTTTGTTGGACTTCACATTCCAGTTGGTCGGGTCCAAGCAGATGACATGGACGAGCTAGCTCGGCTAGCTGACAAGTACGGATCAGGTGAACTCCGGCTCACTGTGGAACAGAACATCGTCATTCCAAACGTCGAGAACTCAAGAATTGAAACCTTGCTCAATGAGCCTCTCTTGAAGAACAGATTTTCCCCCAGTCCACCTCTTCTCATGAAAGGACTTGTTGCATGTACCGGCAACCAGTTCTGTGGTCAAGCCATTATTGAGACAAAGGCTAGGGCTCTAAAGGTGACTGAGGAAGTGGAAAGGCTTGTTTCCGTGACCAGACCCGTGAGGATGCACTGGACTGGATGTCCCAACAGTTGTGGACAAGTACAAGTAGCTGATATCGGGTTCATGGGGTGCATGACAAGGGATGAGAATGGGAAGACTTGTGAGGGGGTGAATGTTTTCTTGGGTGGCAGAATTGGGAGTGACTCGCACTTAGGAGATGTTTATAAGAAAGGTGTTCCTTGTAAAGATGTGGTGCCTTTAGTTGTTGACATACTGGTGAAACACTTCGGAGCTGTTCTCAGAGAGAGGGAAGAAGCCGAAGATTGATTGTATCCTGTGTAGAGATCGACATGCTGTCCATACAAGAATTCCCGGTAGGATGCTAATAATTGAAGGGATTGCAAACTATACTCAACATGGGGGAGTACACTTGATTTTCAGCGAGCTTTTAGCACAAGCAATTGCCTAATGATTGGTATCAATAGTTGCCTCTTCTTTTGGAAAACCATGTTTTGGGGGGATGTTGGAACAAAAAGTGTGATTTTTCCACTTTGAATGAACTGTCAGGAATGGGAAAGATACGAGGGATATCCAGATAATTCTCCTTGTACTCACGAACTATGATGATATCAACCTAATAAGACTAATTTTCGCTGTTATGATTGCTTGTCAGCGTGAAACGGCGTAAGCACATGAGGGAAAGCTTGATGTGTGGAGGCTTTTCCACTGGTATTTGAGTCACCTCATACAGTTTACTTCTCCAGCTTTAATTTTCAAACACCGTTATCTTTAGGAGTTCAGAGAGGGGAAAAAAAATCACCTCCATTCATTTACTTGTCACATCTGCTCTGTAGTCATCACGCCAAGAATTTGCTTGATTCAACTTCCAATCCCAGGCACTTTGCTAACATAAATGTCTGCCCTTTTTGTTCACTGCGTATTTGAGTCAATTCATGCAACTACTCAAAGGACGTGAAAATATTACCAGGAATCAATTATGTATTCCCATTTTGAATTTCGAAATTAAGATACCAAGCTTTCTGATGCAACGCAGAACCTTAGATCGCATCAGCTCTCCCACTCAGACAAAAATATAGTTTGATTGAAAGTGTAGAAAATAAAAAAAGGCGCTACTAATATAAACTACATTCAACAATCTGACAATGCAATACACCCGTCATCCAACATATTTAAAAGCTTGAACACGGCAGAACTCAACCTATCTAAGGTGGAGGCACGTATCGTCTGAATCAGCACAAGAGTTTCTTAGAAATCCAACGGCATTCCAAACAACTTGTTGATATCATCCATGGCCTCCTTAGTAAAGACGGTTGGCTCAAACAAGTCACTTTCTCTTGATTTGCTTGATGGTTTTGGTGCCACCTTGTGTTTAGGATGTTTTACGTCATCGGAAAGAATTGAAAACCCTATACCTCTTTCCCTGTCAAGAGCTTTTGCTGCTGATATCCGTGGATCCACAACTGGTTGATGTTCCAATTCATCATCAGGAAGTATCAGAAATCCACTATAATTTTCCTCCTTCTCCGGTAATTTTTCCCGCTTCTTTGATCTTCTAGATCTTACAAATTCTATTGGCTTTCCAAACATGTTATTTATGTCCTCCATGGCCTCTTTCAAGTTGATCGTGGGGTCTACAAGGCCATGATGGCAAGCATTCTCCACCACTGGCTCATCTAATATGGTTGAACCAACAAACTTGCAAACGACTGTATCCTCTCTGAATTTTCCTCTGGATGAGGTTGCTATACCCAGCTCATCAGAGTTTTCAGAAGCAAGATCCTTTGGTCGAGGAAACACGAAAGCATTCACATGTGAATCAGAGACATTTTGTGCTTGATCCAGCTCCGAGTCTCTATTCTCCTTTCCATCATCATTTCCTTCCTCGTCAATGTATATTTGCAATCCTTCCTCCTGAGGCTGAGCAAGTGTGGATCTTGTGTGCTGAAGTGAGCAAGTCTTCTCCCACTTCTGATCTTGAGATGCTTCAAATTGCTTCTCTAGGTTTTCGTCAACAAAAACCTTGAAATTGCTGCTGGAACTCTGCTTTTCCCTTTCATGCCTCCTAAGCGATCCTCTGCCAACTGGCATTAAATCAATTGGCTCTCTGAACATGCTGTTGATGGCATTCATTGCCTCCTTCATGTTTATTGTTGGTTCCACCAGTCCATGATGGCATGCATCTTCTGCCTCAGGCTTTCCAACTAGGGCAGTGTCTACCAACTTTACCATTACAGTATCATGGCAAGATATGGCAGGTTCATCCACTTTCATTTCCTCAGTCAGTTGCTGCTTTGATGTTTTTCTCAGTTCCATCCTTCCACTCCATTCCTTTCCAGCGATCCCATCTGTTCTTGATTCTGCTAGTTGCTTACCATTTTGAGACTTTCCCTCCCGAATTTCATCAGCATCGACATTTTTCTCCTGAGAAACTGATTTCTTAGTGCCATTGTCGTGGCATGTCCCATCAAGCCTTCCATAAGAATGGAAAATGTTTTCTTTGGTGGCCCTCCTTTCTTGATGCTGTGGAACATCCGCCGTATATTAGATGACTATGACAATGAGAAGGATCACTTAAAGCTGCCACAAGCAACATCAAAAGAAGAACATATGATACCTGGATCCTCTTAATCTTGTGTCTCTCCAACCGATGGAGAAATTGCTCGTACGATTTCTGCAGCTCATCCACCGGCTCGGCAAGGCTGCCCAACAGTTTAAAAAAAAGCAGCTTCACAAACCAGGAAGAGTAAAGTCTCTAAAAGTTACATCTGAAACCAAATTATCCATACACAGAAAGGTTAGCAACGGTTCTGCCAATTTGCTACACTAGAACAGCTTCACAGTTTGTGTTGCAAAAAACTCGTTGCCCGTAAATGAGCTATCTCCTTGTTTTTCCGCTAAGGAACCGTGCACCCGTGAAAATAACAGGGTAAAAGCTTACTTTTGCACTCCTAAGTGATAAATCTTGTCAGCTTCCTCGAATTTCTTCGTCTTCTCAAAGTAAAGAGCATATGCCTGGTAGAAGAGAGACCGCTTCGTCCCAATTCGATTCATCTCCATTGCTCTCAAAAGCACCTTCGGATCATCGACATAATCCATCTGCACAGTTATCGACAACGAAATCTACTCAATACCATTTTGATCGATGATGAAATAAGACTCTAATCTCGTGAATGCATTTTCACATGACAAGACCACAAAAGCTCCACCTAAATCCAACTCCTTTTGGCTTACTTTGAGCAAGGCTTCCCATATTCATGGAAAGACAATAAGGAGAGACTAATGATTCTCGCAAATTTGTTCCCAACACATACACGCACATGTAACTTCTGAATTGCAACGAATGCAGTTAAAAGGAAAGGTGTTTTTTTTTTTACCAACTGCAACCAAACGCGAAGGTAACGCAAGTCGTTCCTGTAGCGGCGGTCCGACTGGAACTTCTCGGCGCACTTTTGGAGAAACCTGGGGAGCTTCTCTTCCAGGACGTGAGGGGGAAGACGCTCCTTCATCCTCCTGATCCCACTGCCACAAGCATCGCAAAGCAGCGAAAAAGACGCCGGTCAATCCACAGTTCTAGCGAATGCGAAACGGGACCGATCGCAGCGCGAGAATACGGAACAGCCGGAGGGGGGAGGGGGACAATCTGGAGTTACCGGAGCCAGGGGAGGAGCGGATCGTCGCCGGCGTAGGTTCTGATGTCGGAGATCACGGAGGAGAAGAGATCGTCGTGGTGCGGCTGGGCGGCGCTGGTCTCCGCCATGCTCGCGACGAGAGAGAGAGAGAGAGAGAGAGAGAGAGAAAGCCTCAGGTGTCGAAGCAGTGGAGGTGGAAGAAGGAGAGTTTTGGAGAATCTCATTTCAATGGCGGTGTCGACCTAAATTTGAATTCTCCGGGTGGGCCCTGCGCGCATTTCCCCTTCATGGCTTTAGACGGCGCGTTTTGGGAGCCAATAACTATTGTTCGATGCTAAATTGAATTCAGGAAAATATGTACTTTGGTTCAACGTGCAATATTGTCCGTGAACTTTTAATTTGTTCGATGTTGACCTTGAACTTTTAGCTTGTTTTTTTATGCATGTTTCGAATTGAAATATCGAACGCTTTTATATAGTCCGGAGACTAGATTGAACATAACTAAAAATTCGGAGACCACATTGAACAAATTAAAAGTTTATGGGCGATATTACACATTGAGCTACAGTTTTGAGTCCACACTGAACAAATTAAAAGCTTATAGATCACATTTCACATTAGACAAAAGTCGAAAAGATATTTTGAATTTATCCAAAATTAAACATTTTCATTGATCTTGGAGAAATTAGAAGTAGGGGGTAGAGATAACCAGTTTTCAGGTGGTCCAGAAATTGGAAACCGGAACAATGGAACCGATTCCCAGTTTTCGAAACCGATTTGGTCCGATTCCCGAGTGGGCCAATAGAACCAATGGTCTGGTTCCACAGACAGATTAAATTCCTGTAATTAAAAATTTTCTAATTTCGGTTGAAAAATAAAGGTGTTTTGTTCTTCTCCATTTGTCTACTGCCAGTTTTCCTATATGAAATCAAGACCCTGCAAGATAAAGTATGTTGGCTCATCTGATTGTGGTATGTAATGGTATGAAGCATTGGATCCCACCAATAAGAACTCCAAAATGCAAGAGGCTGCGTTCTCGTAGCCTTGCAAGATAAATTTCTAAGAAATTAAACAAAAAAAATCCATCCGGTCCTTCCATCCATCAAAACCGGGAATTGGATCGATGCTCTCGGAAGTCGCCTAGAACCAGCGGGTTTGGTCCGGTCCGGGCAATTCTCCATCCGGACGGGTACCCCTAATACGAGGAGGAGAGTTTAGAGCTTGACGCATCTGGCTTCTTTAAGCAAAGGGAAGGGGGGGTCGAAGAGCCTTATCATTGCGCCAACCCGGTGTAAAAGAAAAGACAAAAAAGAAAAACGAAAGACGAGAGTCAAATCTCCTTCGCTCGAGTTGGCATTTTCACGAACACTCGGCCGTCGCCGCCGGATCACCACCACTCCGCCGCATCCTTCCGCTTCCCGCCGATCTATCCTCCGCCGATCACTGCCCCGCTCGCGGCATTGCCCCCTCCGAGGAAGAAGCTTCGGAATGCGGACGGAGGAGCAGCTGCTGCTCCGGGACTCGATCTGCTGATTGGTCGGTTCGTGGCTGTTGCGGTCCCTCTCTCCGGTTGTGTGATTCCTCGACATGGACCCGAACGCGCCGAGTACTGTCGATTTCCTCATCGCAATCTACTTCGCCGTCGCACTCGTCGCCGCCCGCTTCTTCTGCGACAGATTCATCTTCCGAGTAAAGCTTTTCCCCTCGCCTCCCCCCTTGCGCTCTGAGCGCGCGGCATTCTCGAACTTGTTTGAGCTCTCTCGATGGTGATTTTCGCGCGGTGTATTGCTTGTGCTTCTACTGATGCAATCGCTGTACATATGAAGCTAGTGTAGACTGGGTGAGGACTTGCTTGTTAGATGCGCTCGGATCAGGTCTCTTTAGGTGGTGTAGATTCAGTGTTTCTCTCCCTCTAATCGTTTAGACTGAGTTCGCAATCTCGTCCGATCAGGTAGGGTTCAGTCGTTTACTAGCATTATGGAAGCGCCTTTGCCAGTCTCTCTCGCTTTGAGAAGTATCTATGCATCTTCCTTTACGTGCATTTTTCTCCTGTATATATGTCTTCCGCACATGGATAATGGTTGGATGGTTGTCGATAAAGTACTGCATTATCGATTGAAGAAGAAATTCGTTCTATTCATCCTCTGTTATGGTAGAGGCAAAATCTCTCGCAGAAGTGGATTATTTAGCCTTGGAAACGCTAGTTCTGGCTCATAAGCTTTACGAGAGAGAACTGTTTGAGATCATTTCGTCTCGGTACGATTATAACGGTTGAGGTGGACTTCTGCTAGTCCTTTACCCTACCAAGCCCTGTAGATCTCATACTCATTACTTGGAAATTGTCTTTGAATCTGACAATGGAGCCAAAATCCATAGATTAGAAAAGAATCGGATTGAGTGATGCTTCCTCCTTTTTTGAAATCTTTCACTGTGCTCACTTCCTTTTATCTATGAATTAAGAGACTTGCACTCTGGTTGCTGCGCGATGGGCCCACTCCACTTAAGATTAACAAGGCTGTTCAAGCGAAGATCAGTAAGATCTCGGAATCTATGTGGAAGCTAACGTACTATGCTACTGTTGAAGCGTTTGTTCTGTCGATCACCTACCAAGAGCCATGGGTTAGAGACACAAAAGAGTATTTCAGAGGCTGGCCCAATCAAGAACTGAAGTAAGTAATTTGTTTGCTTGAAAAACCGAAATTGATCAATCATTCCAGCAAGACGAACCTCACTCAGCAGATTTTAGCGTGCATCAAACTTTATTGCTTTTTTGGAAGAGTATGTGCCGGATTCAAATGTGTCTTACATTTTTGCTAAATATCTTCATGTGATCATCTGCAACTCTCTGTTTGGATCCATACACAGTACACGGGGATGTCAGGGTCTTTTATGCTAAATACTCGATTATTGACCAAAAACTTATTTGAGTTGCTAGAGAGGATCTAACATCCCCACGTTTTAGCAGGAAGTTTTGCTATGATGAACTTGTTATACCTTCAATTACTAACTCATTAGTCAAGCTATGTCGTGATTTTGGCCGTGCCTTTTATTGGAATAGTGGTCTGTATACCAAACGGGAAATGAGATAATCTTCCTTAACAAGAATAATTTAAGTATTTGCACTCCAAATCCAAGGCACGAGCTAAAGTTTGAGGGAATAGATTTACACTTGGCTTTTACAAGTGGACCTTAAAGTTGGCATGTCCAAATCTTTATACGAGAAGAGCAAAATTCCCTTTGGATAAACTCACATGTTATTTCCTCCTCTTCCCCATAATTTATGAAAAAATTGGCACACAAACACTGGAAGCTATAAATTATTTTCTCATTCCATTTCAAGTAGGCTTAGGATCAATAAGTTTGTAGTTGGCCACTATTCTCCTTACATATCAGCAGATAGCTATTTTGGACGTCTTAGAACCTAAACTCAGATGTATGATGGAGTTTTCTCAGATTAGGTCATTATCTTGCTTACTGTTCTTTCCTCTTTGAAAAGAAGGTTCCTGCATGAGATGTTGTTTTTGTGGACGTGCTCTAGGCCAGGACCTAGGTTACCCTGATGAGGCGCATTTAAGACACGAGATACTCTCTTTACCTTCCATCTTTCTTCACCAGTGACAAGAGGAAGGCTGCTGTTATGACCCTCTCATTGATGAATGGACTTTTCAAAATGAATTTTAATGTCCAAAGTGAAACTTGAAAGTCTACGTCAAGCTTGTCAGAAAATAAAGTCAAGATCGGATAATCATCTTGACTATATCCATTTGTTTCCGCGTGTCAGGCTTTCCCTTAGGCTTTTCTACATGTGCCAATGTGGTTTCTACATCTACAGCATTGCTGCCCTACTTACATGGGAGACTCGAAGGAAGGATTTTGCTGTCATGATGTCTCATCATGTAATCACTGTCATCTTAATTGGTTACTCCTTCTTGACGAGGTAGGGTCTCACTGTCTCAGTAATTCCTTGTTATGTCCAGAACTAAAACACCATTTAACTAGTACCGGTGAGGCGGTGCTCATCAATTGTGAAGTAATCTCTCGGTTTCCTAGCTTTAGCCTTCCAAATGGAATAAAAGGGAAAATAGCTGTCATTGGAGTGGAGCTTACCTTGTTTTATAATATGTTCTTTCCTTGAGCATGTCCGTCCTGTAATGCCACTTCTAGCAGGTGGTGACGTCTCTTGCATGGAATAGAAAATGTTGTATTATCTCTCTCATCCTATAAGAAACGTCAACCTGCATCAATTATCATAACTTATGACATGTATTTGTTGGATCCTTCTAAAAAGGAACCCTGTTCACTGGGTTACATTAGCCTCATATGGATAAGCTGGACTATATAACCAAACAATTTTTCCTTAGAATGCCAATTTATTGAGAAATTAGAGAAGGATGTGGGGTGACTGGAGTCTGCCGCATTATTTTTAGATCGTGAGACCTCTCCTTGTTACAGAAATGTTAGAAAGTTCAAGAAATCTGTGGTCTTTGCTTAAGCACTGTGTGGCTTATATTACCATGTTAACACTAAGTCATCTCCGGGCTGTAGCAAATTATAGTTCCCACTATTTGGTCATTTTCCCACTGAGTTTCTCGAATGCTTTTACTTTACTGAAAACTGATTAAGGAAGTCTGAGCTTTGAATCTGCCCCAGAGGCTGCTTTCCCTGTGCTTGATTCTGAGGCTACTTAAATATCAATATTTATTTCAAACAAAGCAGCATCATTTTATTGAAATACCAGCATGTTGTTGATTAGTGCTTGACAGGATTCAGAAAAGCTGGCAAAATTGCTGTCTACTTTTTGTTTCAAAAGATGATGGCTATTAAGGTCATGCCTTTTCTTTTTCTTCTCTCTTTTCGAGCTAAATGTTTTCATGTGGAGAAATTAGCTTTGGGGTTCGGGGAGTTGACATTTCAAGGTCTGGTAAGTACAGCCAATCAATAAATTGAAAGATGGACAACATTTGGGGTTCTCTTCACCCTGTATGGTGGACCTCTGCCAGAATCTGGACGAGCCATCAGAAAGGACTACTTGGCGGAATTGAAGAATAGAGCTTTAGATGGCACACAAGAAAATTGTGTGCACACTGATCTTAGAGAAGTTTTCTAGTCATATGGTCTCTTAGGTTTTCAGTTGGTAGATGTTTCGCTTCAAGCTTTATGGCTATTTAAAGAAGAAAGTTAACAAAAGCTGTTCAATGGTGAAACAGGTTTTTTCGGATTGGCTCTATTATTCTTGCACTCCATGATGCCAGTGATGTGCTGATGGAAGCTGCAAAAGTCTTTAAGTATTCTGAGAAGGAGTTCAGAGCAAGCCTGTGCTTTGCATTATTTGCCATCTCGTGGCTCGTACTAAGGCTTATATTCTTCCCCTTTTGGGTCATCAAAGCATCTAGGTTGCATCCACTGGTGACTGTTTTTTCCTTTAGCTCGTCTACAATGGCTTCTGATACCTTGTGCTTTTTTGTTTTTTGACGACCAGCTATCACTTATGTGAATTTTTGCCGCTATCAGAAATCTATGGCTGTTCATTATACTACGTCTTCAACACGATGCTTCTGACTCTGCTTGTGTTCCATATTTACTGGTGGGTTCTTATATGCTCAATGATCATGAAGCAGCTAAAAAACAGAGGCAAAGTGGGAGAAGATATAAGATCTGGTAAGCGGTTTAAAGTTCTTCTAGTTTTAGTGTGACGTTGTTTTATACTACTGGTGATGCCGTACATTCAACGATCATCTGTTATGCTTGAACGCCTACTAAAACTTAGTTGAATTGAGTTGACCATTGTCGACACTTATGACTAAGTGAAATCTATCTAGAAAACGTTTGAAATTTTTTCACATAACTAGAATAGTGCAATTGCTGCTGTTCTACTTCCTGAGGAAAAATAGTGCGCTGCTCGTCGTACTTCCTGAAGTGGCATATTTATTGCTACGTTGCTTCTCAAATCTCCTACCATACTGCCATTAGATAATGCTGTTGGTTTATTCGAGAGGCGTACTGGTAAATTAGGAAGAGCTAATGAAGCGAAATGGTAACTCATGGGTCACTCTTTGATTATGAGTTTGTCACATCTTTCAATTAGCTCGACTGCTCGTCCAAACTTCTTCGCGACACTTGCAGTTGTTTTCTCGATCGATCTTTTTTTTCAGTTTATATTGTTGTGGAAGGCAAAAAAATCGAAGTCTCTTCTCGTCGAATTATCTGACTTTTCCCCTCTTTGAAATACAGATTCGGAGGATGATGACTAGATGGAAGTCTTGGCTCATCCAAATTAGTTCTTCATGAGGAAGCTAGTTACGGGAGCGTGGCATCTTTTGCCTCTCTTGTTGGTCGGCGAGTTGTCATTGATCGCAAGAAGTTGAAAAATTCTATGGTCCCTGATTTTTGTTCGACCCCTTTTGGGACGGTATTGGAGAGGTAGGGTAACGAAGGAAATCTTTCCCAGTTTTTTTCCCCTCGTGCTATATAATTCATAGGCTATTCCTCGTGTAATCTCTCTTTCCGCTCATACGATAGACAGATTCGATTAATTGAGAATGTCCCGAAATGGACAAGAAGAAAAACGCGGCTGTCCTTTTCGGGGAGTTGTTTTTCCCTCACCCTCCCGCTTTCATGATTTTTCAGTGCATAATTTATGGTTTTGTTATCAGTTCAGTGTGCCGAGGCGAAACGAAAGAGTCAGAAAGACGTTTGAAGGCCAGTTATGCTCTGCCGAGCCTGCAGCGAAGCATCGGAAAGTGATGCTTCAGGGCGGAGTTGTGCGGACTCGGTATGATTTTTTTGCGGCGACCACTCGGAACTTTTAGGAGAGATGCTGCGCGTTGTATTTTTATTTTGGGTGGGGGACATCGGATTATGCACTTTAAGGAACTAGGAAGGGTCCCACCCAGTTGTACTTTGTCTCATGCAGACTCTGCGTTTTCGGCATCTTGACCTTTTGACCGGTATTGTCGGTTACGAGTCACGCGGTTCAATTCGACGGAAGTTATATTCCTCAATCGGATTGCGTTCTGGAATGTGTCGGATAATTAATGCGAAGAGCTCCGGAACCTGGGAACGCAACTGCTCAGTACAACTGGCGCTGTGCGGTTTCAGGCATCGGGACGGCGCTAGACGGTTTAAGGTTGGTCAAAATCTTATCCGTTAATCGATTCATGTGTAAACCGAGATGGTCATGGGTCGGGACCCGGTTGTTCCTGACTCGGTCAACGCCCGCGTTTGCGCTGGTCTAACTGATGCTCCTCACTATCTCAAAGCAAAGATCGCCTTTGCGTCCTTAAATTCTTTTCTTTGACTCTATTGTTCGGCCGATCTTTTGTCTTTAATTTGAGGGTCAAAGTTTTGAGATGATGAAATTTTTCAGAAATTTTGTGATTTTACCTTCGACATGAGCTTCATTGCCGACAGAAATTCAGCTGCTCACTCAAAGATTTAGATTGCTGACAGAAAATTTACTCTAATTAGTTTCGTTTAATGCCGAACATTTTAATTTTAAAAATATTCTAAGAACTTCATTGGGATTAGCTCTTTTTTTGAAACAAATTCTTCTCGTACATTAATTAAGATCATTAATTGAGTTAATAATATGACTAGATTTCATAGAGGGAAATTTTTAATGAACCGGAGCCATATAATCCCTAGAGTAGACCTTGTCCTTCGTTTATTTCGCGAAAAATGAATAATTTGAAAAACATTTACCTCAAAATAATCGCTTGAAATAGCTAGTCAATGAAAAAAATTTCATTACCGATAATAATTTATGTCTCAACATCTTCGCGAACGATGGAAATATTGTTCGTTCATTCAATTTTATAAAGAGACAAGCGACCCTTTTAAGAACATGTTTTGCAAATCATCCATTTTTTCAAGAAACAGACATAGTCTAAGTGTCTAAAGTGGCCAGCTTAATCTCAAATAAGGGTCTGAACTCACCCGCCGTCTTTTTCCGACAACTAGGGTAAGGCCGATTTTCTCAAAAATTCGCAAAACGGGTAACATCTTAAAAATAAAAAACCCCGAATCAAATTCTCTTTCATGTATTCGGATCGATTCCCCATTTGTGATACTCACCACATGCAGGCTCTAAGGCCTTAGGAAGTAAGGAATCCATTTTTGCTCCAACATGAGTTCCCAATCTATGAAGGCCCCCACCAAGTAACACCATCGCATGAACAGAACCACCGGAAAGAAACTCTTGTTGGATTGTCCCAATCAACTGTGTACAGTATCGCACGAGAAAAAAATGCCTTGTCCAGACCAGTTTTCAGATGACAACCGCAAACCCACCAAAAACCCACCGCGTAATGAATTCAATTAGGGGCTTTTTGATCTTTAGAATTTTGGCCATTCTTCAATTGGTCGGCACGAACCCTAGATTCAATTTAGGTAAAATCATAAAAAAAAAGGAAAAAGAAAAGGAATTGGACGAAATTGCGCCCACTCTATATCCTGGGAAAAGATGGCCGGCGAATTCGGACTCTTAATTTGAGACTGAATTGATCACTTGGGACCTTTAATTGATATAAGGTCTATTCCGAGCCCTCCCCCTTTTTTTTTTTGTTGAGAAAATGGCTCAACTTCACGCCCTTAATTAGAATATGGATGTGTAGTTTGACGAAAAATGTACTTCATAAATTCTCAACTTCCTAATACTCTGTGATTCATCTTTCATCGAGCACAATACTGGAAAAAAAAAGAAAGAAGAGAATATCAAAAAATCGTGCGCGAGCAAGAAAAAAATTACAATGTGAACAACGTGTATTGATCAATGAAAGATCTAATGTCGTTTACATCATAGCCGGTGGGCGACATCATATAAAATTCCTTGATATTTCTTCGGGAAAACTCTTCTTTATTTTTACGCACAAAAAAAAAAATGAAATGATCAAGAAAAAGAATCCGACTCCCTCCCAGCCGGTGGCCCGTTACCGAAGCGGGCCCCACCGACCTCCCCCACCGCCTCCGACGTCAGCACAACCGTCAGCACCACCGGTCCCTCCCTTCCCTTACGCCCCCCAAACCCAACTCCCACCAACGGGAGAACTACACCCGTGCAAGTCATGTCGCCACACCCTCGCTTTCCGGCACGTGCGTGACGCCAATCAAAACGAATAAACCGCCCTCCTCCCAAACCAAACCAAACCGTGTGTGAACTGTGTGTCCAGGCTGGCAACATCCATGTAGGCAAACCACCGCAGCGTATATAAACCCGTTGACTCTCTTCTCCCCCTCGCTCCTCAACTCAACCGCCACAATCACGAAAGCAGAGCAGCACAACAACCCCAGACCTTCATCAGCGCATCGACATGCACAGCAAGAGACTCAAGCTCACCGAATCGGCCCCGCAGCCGCCGTCCCCGCCGCAGCACGGCCTCACCCACGACCAAGAGTTCTCCATCATGGTCACCGCCCTCAAAAACGTCGTCTCCGGCGCTGCCGCTGCCGCCGACCTGACCCCTTGCATCATCCCTCCCGGCTCCGCCGGCGACAACTGCTGCTGGGACAGAGACTTCGTGGCCCTCTCCGATCTCGACACGTGCCGGGTGTGCAGGATCGAGGGCTGCCTCGGGTGCGACTTCTTCCCCCCCATCAACGGCCAAGCGGAAGAGAGGAGTAGCAGCGGCGCAGCATCCAAGAAGAGGCCGTCGCCCACATCGTCGCGCCCGCTGGGCAAGAAGAAGTACAGGGGAGTGAGGCAGCGGCCATGGGGGAAGTGGGCGGCGGAGATACGGGACCCGCGGCGGGCTGTCCGGGTCTGGCTCGGGACGTTCAACACGGCGGAGGAGGCCGCGCTGGCCTACGACAAGGCGGCCATCGAGTTCCGCGGGGCGCGCGCAAAGCTCAACTTCCCGCACCAGGACCACTCACTCCTACCGCCCCCACCCCCGCCCCCGCCGCCGGTCACAGCGCTTCCTCAGAGACAGGACCCAAGGATGACGACAGTGGACAACAACGATTCGGGAATGGGGTCGAACTCGGAGGAGAACAAGGGGAAGGGGAAGGCGGCCGAAGCAGACGACTTCTGGGAAATGGTCAAGAACGAGGGCAAGATGGAGAGGGAGTGGATGATGTGGATGGACCTGGGAGGCGATTCCTCGGACTCGAATGGGCAGACCGTGCACTCGTTTTGATTCATTGATTCACTCGAACGACCGACGCATACACTGTATACTGTATAATTAGTTCTAAGCATTCGTTTCTTCTTTGATGTTCGACTGATCTTTCGGACATGTATGAGCATATTTTTTTGTATTGCTCACGATAGAGATTATATTCAGATTGCTCTTCTTCCTGAACTTCTGAGTCTTGTGGTTATGTCTGTCGGAATTACTACAGCATCTTCTGCATCTGCATGATGACTACGTGAAGAACTGAGCTACAAGGTGACGAAGCCCCGCTTGATAATAAAAAGTAAAGGACACGTGCGTAGGTCAATGTGAAATCGTGCCTAAGCAGCGAAGAAACCGTGACAAAATGGTCGGGATATGCTAAAGAATAAAGATTATCCAGATCGAGGCCAGGCTGGCCAGTTGGGACAAATGACTGATGAAGTGACGTCAGCTTCTTTTCGGGTTTCTTCTTGGCCTTTCAGGTGTGTTGGAGTTGGAACCGATGAGTGGACCCGAACTGTTTGACCAAAATGCGGCGTGTGAACCTGGTTGACTTCTAAGTTTGGGTCGGTCAAACTGCGTGTCGTGTTTCGTGTTTTGTCTCGCAACGCAACGCATTACGAAAAGGCAGATCGCTCCACGTCACTCGCCCTCGCTTTTCTTTTAACTCATCTTGCCCACGCGCCCCAAAGTAAACAATAGAATAATAAAAATTTAATTCCGAATTTTCGCAGCCTCTTTTTTTTTGACCTTTTTTGGTTGAACCCGACCCGAACACCTCCTTTTTTGCCCAGAAACGATATGCACCGTAGAGATGTGATCCGACGGGCTGAAATCGCTCGCGTTCGAAGCCGAGCTCAGCCATGGCGTCGTCAACTCTCCAAAACGAAAACTCACCGATCACCACCCTTAGCTCACTTCCGTTTCGGTGGCAAGAGTTGCTGTTCTTTTCCCAGGCGTTTTGCGCGAGCCGAGCTCGTTTACACTGTAAGTAAATTCTCTCAGCGTCGATATTCTTCAACTCCGCATGCATAGAACACTTCGAAACTGGCCTTGGTATTCCGAATTCCTCACCAGTTCTGGTTGCTATGCTTTCATTGGGATGTAGAGTTGGTGTTTTGCGCTTATGCGGTTGATCCAGGGCATTTCCAGAACCCTTCTTTTTTGGGTTTCATGGGTTAAAGTTCGTCGCTTTCTTTGCCCTTTCGTCCGTTTTAGGGAAACCCTCAAGTTATGTGTCTTCGGGGTTTCAGCTTTTCAGGCCGGGTGGTGCTCTTGCTTTTTTCTCTTCTGATTCTGGGCTTGAAAGGACTCAAATTTGATCGTGTCATGATGCGGATTAATTCATTCATAGCCGCACGTGTTCCTTCCTTTTCTTCTTCTTCGCGATGCTTTTCGTGTCGGCTGGCATTAGTCGGTGTGTTCCGATACATGCAGACGCCCGATGCTTCGAAAAAGGAGAAATGAATGGCAGTCTAGTTATATGTTGTATGAGCTCTTCTGGCAGGTGAAACTCTGCTTTGTCCGATTGCGTCGAGAAAGGACTCAAATTTGGTAATATCATGATTTAAATCGATTTGGTTTGTTGCAGCATGTGTTCCTCTGTGTGGTTCAATGTGATGACGATTGGGTACGGAGTCCAGTCTATGATGACAAATTGTCTTTGAAACATGATGGGCTATCATTTGTTATAATCCTTGTTTATGTTAGTAGAGCGGCTGTTCTATTCTGGTTCAGAGTTATACCTTTTCTTCCATCATGTTGATTTTCCTCACCTTTAGAGATAAGGCTAAATCCGGGAGAGCTGTTTTGGCGAGTGTTATTTCTTCTTATGAAAATTACTCCCTGCCATGCTTATTATAGATGGGTTACGGCTAATGGCGTGTTTTTGTGGGGCTATGCGTCAGTCAGAACAGCTGGTAAATAGTGGCTTGATTGGAGTCTTATCATTACATGAGTTTCATTCCTATCCCTTTGTTAGATCTGACTTTCATGATAGAGATGCTTTGTTTTGTTTCTAGTTTGAGATGGCACCTCAGACTCAAAGGTCCGCAGCTCAAGGAAATTCCCAAGCAGTTGAGCCTAAAAAGGAATGGATGCATCACAAGAAGCAGTCAGTTAACAAGACTGTTAGACACGAGCAGTGTGGGCAACAGCTAGCAGGGGGCAGAACTGTTCTGACTGCAAATCAACGGGATGTAGTGATTCATTTACTGCAAACCACCCACGAGCTAATTCTGGAGATACAACAAAAGTGTGCTGGTATTCAAGCTTGGTTCACGCAGCAACTGCGTAATAACAATTTCATGAAACTAAATCCACCAACTTTTTTGGGGGTTGCCAACCACTCAGAGGCTGTATCTTGGTTGATTAAAATGGAGGAGCTTTTCAATGTATTTGGGCGCTCCTATGAAGAGAAAGTGGATTATGCCACCTATAGGTTGAGCGAGACTGCTATCACTTGGTGGCAGCTTGAGAAAAGTAAGTGCAAACTGGGCGCGGAGCCATGTACTTGGGATAACTTTGAAAAGGCTTTCTGTGCACAGTACATCCCAGACAGTGTTCGACTTCAAATGGCAGAAGATCTCATCAACCTGAAGCAGAAGAACTTGACCGTAGTTTAGTAAACTGGCAAGGTTTGTGCCACTGTGGGTGGACGGAGATGAGGTCCTTGCTCGGAGGTTTGAAGGGGGATTGAGGCCTCAGATTAAGGCATTGGTGATGCCGTTCGAACTAAAGGCATACAGGGATATTGCCAGAAAAGCTTCTTTGGTTGAGAAATGCCTCCTCGAGGTAGAAATGATGTGCAAAAGAAGAGGCATGCCATCGAGGTGCCCCAACAAGAACAGGATTCATATAATCCCAAGGGCAGGGATTCAAAGTGCTTGCGCCTTTAGATGGAAAGAGACTTGATCAATCTGAAAGAGAATAACTTGACAGTGGCCGAATATGAGGCTGAGTTTGATAGACTATTTGATAGACTAGCGACTTTTGCTCCTTCCTTGGTAGCAGATGAGGCAATCCGAGCATTGAGATTCGAGGAGGGATTGAAGCCTCGGATCGAACTTGTTGTGGTCCCATTTGAGCTGAAAACTTTCACTGCTGTGGTGAATAAGGCTAAGCTGGTAGATAGAGTTCTCGAGGCGGAAGTTGGACACGGACAGATTTGAATCTGCTTGATCAGGAGTTCCTTCACCCTTTCTTTTGCCTCGTCAATCAGGACTTGAGATGCTCGTGGCCTAAAAAATGTATAGGGAATCAGGGACATTGTGAATAGCATGGATCTTCTTTCTCTTTCGTTTTTGCCTTGTTATCAGGACTCGGGATCCTAAAGATTGTGGATGGTCTGTTTGAAAGGTTCATGAGAACTGGTGGGAAGACAGACAAAGAACTCGTGAATGGCGATTAGCTTTTTTTTGGGTTGTTTTTGTTTACTTCCACGAGGAGCTTTTCGTTTGGGACACAACTGCTGCTGTAAACTGAGCTTTGTGTCTTTTTACAACGATGCCCTAGCTAGATTATGCTCAGAGTTAGTCGTAGCTAAGTGGTTACGCACTTGAAATAATCTATAAATCTAGGCATGTCACATGAGTGGGGACCAAGCGCGGTTAAGTTTTTACTTTGGAACATTGGGGAAGTTATAGGGGTGTGCAACCGGACCGGGTTTACCCAAAAATCGGACCAACCCACCCGAAAAACAGGTCCGGGAACCGGTTCTAACAAGAACCGGTCCGGGTACCGGTTCCATTTTTTGGGAACCGGTTAGAACCGGTCCGGTTTCCGGTTTCAAGTAAAAATCAACCCAAACCTGTTTTAGAACCGGTTTTAGAACCGGTTTTGAGATAATGTACAAAAAAGTAAAAAGTCTATATCACGTTACCCTACTTCAACGGTTTTAGAACCGATTTCCGGTTTAATATTGGAATATGTTTCACAACTATGAGCGAAATAACACGGCTCTTAAAGTCATCTAAATATTGTGTGATTCAGATGAGATATATAGACATTTTTCTAGTGAGAGCAGATGTCTTATCGCTAAGTCTCTTGATTTTTCTTTCAAGATATTTCATTCGGAAACAGAACTGAGGAGTTATCTCATCATGGCGCAAAATAAAGAGCTAAACATGTTGAATAAATTCCCTGGAAATGTGACTCTTAAAGATTTATGCGATTGGACTATGTCTTGCCACATAGTGCTTTTGGATTGTTGATTTTGATGGATTGTAATTTCAATTGCTCATTTTGGGGATTGTTACTTTTGGCGGATAGTGGTTTTTGTTATTCATCTTTTATTTTAAATCGTTTCATTGCTACCTATATTATTTTGCTAGAAAAAAATAAAACCGGACAAAGGAACAAAAAAAAAAAGGGTTCTCGGGTAGACCTTGAAACCGGACTGGAAAAACAAGGTTGGTTCCAAAACAGGGTCTAGGAAAAACAGGATTGGTTTCAGGTTCCAAAAATTGGGAACCGGTTATAACAGGGCTGGTTTCAGGTTCTAGGTCCGAACCCAACCCACCCCGGAACCGATCACCCCTAGGAAGTTACCATTTCATAATGGAATGGCACTCCCCTTGAGTTTTGTTGTTCAATCCTAAAGTGCATTATGAATGATGATTTTGCTTATTGCGATAGGCAAAAGCTCTTTGCATGCATACGAGGGACTTTTTGTGGAGATTTCGCCTTTGCTTGATCTTATAGCTTGCACTTGGAGATTACCGCATTGTTCGTTGAGATGAGCAAGCTCTCTAGAACTTGGGAAAGCGAGTTTTCCTGGAAGCATTTATTCCAGCGATGAAGTGCTTACGACTTCATCGAATCTTTCCTCTCAACAGGACCTTCGTATTTGTTGAAAACTTAAAAGAAAATTTCATCGCCACTCTGAAATCTTCATAAAAAAAGTTAGATCATCTTCATTCACACTCGGGTTAAAAAGAGGTAAGTCAGCAAATTTTATGAATCACACAACTCAAAGGTCAGAGAAGGACAACACAGAGAGAAAATGAAGAGAAGGGAGATCTAATTACATCATTTGCGCACCACAAGGGAAAAAAAACTTCTATTCTATACATGATTCAGAAATCAACTGTACTATCGCCTGCCAGAGAGACTGATGGAGCTAACTTTCATGGGGGTTGCCACCACCAATGGAGCTTCTGGAGAGTCGCTGACGGCAAACTTGTCGTGCATGAAGCGGCTTTCAACTATGGATTCGTCCTTCAGCACAATCTTGTAACAATAACAGCTTTTAAGGCCTTGCTGATTCCGGTAGCACTGGTGCGCGCTGTTCTTCACTTGCTGGAAGTCCCATATCACGCTGAATTTTCCCACCGTCGCCACAAGATGCCTTTCTTGTTTACCATTCTCAGTAACCTGAAAGAAAAAAACAATTCAAGAAATTAGACAAAAATACGTGAAGTTACATCCGAGTCCAGCCAGACGCATTTTAGGTATAAAAGAAATGACACAGCCGTAAAAACACTATCAATAGATAAACAACATAGATCCAGCTATAGCGCGTTAGTTCTCATACCCAGACAGTAACAATGTCTTGTAACACTAAAGAGTTAATTCTTGCCCAGCACCACCTTGTCACACAAAGACGGCCTGCCTTCCTGACAAGCTAATAGATGATGCCAGCATATTGAAATAGAAAACTTCCAACTTCCCCAGAAAATTTTAATGGATTTAACTGAATTCCACAAGAATAACCGTTGCAACAAAATTTCTATTCACAGAGATATTGACTGTATGATGCAAAAGCTCATGATAGCTTAATAAATGACTGCTAAGTGAACAATTCACAGAGATTCACAGATACCCAAAACCTCAAATGTGACAAATAGCGGAACTAAAAATAACACAATCCAACATCGCATTCATATATAGATGAATCAAAGGCGACTCCACTGCACAAAGTAAAAGAAAGAAATGAGGTTTACCCATGAGAAGTGGCCACCATGGAACTTATTGTTCTCGCCGGCCAAATGTGAATCCAACGGAGTCAGCTTCAACAATCGTGGAGCTGGAATCTTGTTTCCCATGCGACCAGTAAATCCAGTTTTCGTCCTCCCATCTTTGTCGGTGAACAGAGTGCATATAAGAACCAAGTACGTGTCCGTTGTTCCCAGCACCCACTTTCCATCGTAAGTCACATCAACCTGTGTAATCGGAGAACCAAGCCCTGGAAATGCAGTTTTGGCCTGCCTCATCGAAGTCTTGGAGTACAACCTTATCTTACCATCAATGGAACCGACAACAATCGAGCCATCCCCGGTGGTCGCAAAGCACTGGAAGTTTGTTCCCCGTGAAAACTGGTGACCCTGAGTCCATTGCAAAACAGGAGAATTCGAACTCGCAATATTTTGCACAATCCCTCTCCTGTCTCTCATATCCCACTGACAGAGCCTATTATCGTCCAACCCTAAAAATGTCGATTCCGAGGGATCCAGCTGCGAGCCTTTAGTGTCGTTCGTAATATCTCTCATCGTAATATCTGCCCCATCCTTTTCAAACTTCCATTCAGTCACAATTTTCCCCGTCTCAATATCCAATTGCTGAAGCCCTGTAGCATGGGGTTTCCCTTCCTTCAAAGGACTCATCAACATCATATTAGTCTCTCCCCTCATTAACATAGCCTTCTTTGGGGTCATCTCCGACAAGCTTGAACCCACTTTCTTGTTCCCACTGTCGTATCTCACATGAACGCCTTTCCCTCTAATCCCATGCGCCGAATTCCTGTACACCTGAACCCCCAAATCATTGACCAAGAAGCTATTATCCAATGCACCGAGAGTCAAACTCTGAATTCCGCCATTTGAAGCCTCCTCAAACTCTTCCATCAAGTCCGGATTCGGATGATTACGCGACGACAGCTCTGGGCTCTTCCTCAGATCATTCTCCGCGTCCTCCCACACCGAGTCGTCCGCCACCTCGGGCTTAACCCACCCAAGGAACTCCTTCCCATAAACCTTCTCTTTATTCCCCTCAGTTGCTCTCAGCCCATACACATTCTCAAACAAACAATCCTGAAACCTCGTCACGAAGCTCCGATACTCCTCGTTAGTGAAAAACTTCATCGCCCAAACGCCACTACTCACAAAATCCACGCGCCTCTGCTCGCCGAACATCTTCAGCTGCATATCGCTGGAAACCCTAACGCGCACCTTCGACCCCACCTTCAAAACCCACCAGGACCCCTCCCCGCGGCCGACCGACTCCTCCTCCTCCTCGCAATCATCGTCATCGCTGCCGCCGCCGCCGCCGTCGACACTAGACGTCCTCACAAACCTATAAGACGTCAGCTTATCGGAAACGATCCACTTCGCTTTCGGCGTGTTCCCGCCGATGTGGAGGTACAGCTTGACCGGATTCTTCAAATCCGGCGGCCGCGCCGCCGCCGGGTACTTGACCCTGAGAGACTTCAGCCGCGCGTCGATCTCGTCCAGCGAGTTCAGGGATTGAGAAGTAGTACCTGAAGAGGAAGAGGCCCGGTGAGGCTCCTTCTGGTGGCGGCGCTGCTCTTCCTCGGCGTCTTCGTACTCCTCGTGACAGGACTCGCCGCCGCCGCCGCCGCCGTCCTCCTCGTCGGAGGAATCGATCTCGAGATCTTCGCGGCTGTGAGAGCCTCCCATGGGCGATTCAAACCGTCAGTTTTCTCGGGAATCGCGAAAATGACTGATTTCTCGAGGGAGCGAGTCGAGTTGACGAAAAGGGTGAGAATTGGGGAGGATTTCTCGAGAAATGATGATGTTAGTTACAGCCGCGGGGCCCATATATAGGAAAGGTAGAGTGACGGGCTGTGACGAGTAGCGTCAGCCGAACGCCGGCGTTTGCTTCGCTGTGAAGTAACATGCAAAAGAAAAGTGGCCCCGTGTCTTTACCGTCTCCCTATCCCAGGGTGGGCCCCGCTTCCCGGGAGCCGGACACGTCCCAGGCGCGCTTTCCAGCTCGGGGCGTCGTGGGGCCGAGGCTTTTTCCATTGCTCGGGTCGGGTTTGTTGTTCTGGGCCAGCCCGAATAGCCCGGTCAGGCCCATCTTCTAATTGGGCCAGCCAGTCCGTGAAAACATCCATGGGCCTCAATTGAGCATTTCGCATGGGATTTCCAGTTTACCAGTAGATTTAAGTGTGTGGAACAAGCTCATTATTAGCACATATATGATTTGCAGTTACCAGCCAAATTGCTGTCAGAGGAAAAACACATGATCAACACAAAGGAAATCATGCACTCCAGTGGCCATAATTTGCATTGCAGCAATATTCACAGCAGCAGTGAGGTTCTAGTATCTGTTTTAACCATAGTAAATTCTTTCGCAGCGCTAGGCATTCTCTCCATATCTTAATATCTAAAGAGTATCTCTAAAGAGTAGTAGCGCGCAAAAGCTACATCTGGAGTGGGAACAGGGGAGCGGGAAGTTGCGTTTGCTTTCATAAGGCGTCCCTTGCGGCGATGCGGCATGTAATGGCATCGGCGAGCGACGATATTCCCAATTCCGGGCCAGGTATCTTGTAGAGCTGCAGTGCGTAAAACTTTGGATTAACCAGCAAGTCGAGCATAAAAAATCCTGACAAATGTAAAAGTGCTAGTCTTATAGCATATAAAGAGAACGAACTAGCACACCTTCTGTATCTGGGCTAGGTTTGCTCTCCCTTCCAGTTCCTCCAACTCAATTTCTTTTCCACTGATAAGTGCTGCAATGGCCTTCATCTGATAGTACAAGGTGGGAATGAAGTCATGACCAAAACTGCTGTCTGAATGAATAGTTCAAGATATTTGCGAGATAACCAAATGCTAGGACAAGATACCTCATCAAGTGATGCATTGAAACAAGCAGCGAGAACATAGGTGGAGCTGTCAGAGATGCCACATCGTTTCAAGGATTCCGTAATCTAACAATATTGAAATCACCAAGAGGTTAACAACCACACTAACCCTAAAATAAAGCAGAAAGAACTTTCACTATTCATTTTTTTTTCCAGGTGAAAGCAGCACGACAAAAAACGAGCTTACATACATGCTTAGACCCTGAATAGTTGTAAACAAGCTCCGAATGGAGAGTACGGGTAATCAGCGAACCTCGAGAATTGGACAGAAGTGTCTTATGTGCAGCGGCTAGAACAGGGAAGATATCCGGAATCTGGTCACCATAATTTTCGTGAGAAACATTAAAAAAGCACAACAGGTGGAGAACAAACATGATAAAAATTCGAAGTCGTGCCCACATATCACATACGAGCAGAGCATTGAGAAGAGCAACTTCTGGTTCCAAAGTTCCAGCCTGCATAGAATCCAAAAGTTCCCTGCATTTTGACAAACGGATGTCAAGTCCTTTGAAAGAGCCTTAGTCTTCAAGTAAGCTCATGCGCATTACAATTATGGACAGAAAATACCCACCAACCGAACACAATCTAGGGAAGTTAAATGCAGCTACTAATTTCAATGAGGGCTAGATAAAAAGACTGGTCGGTAGCAAATGAGTGATAATTCATTAAAGCATCCTAGACAACAGATAGACGAATAAGAGGATAAAAAATACACAAACATGCATTTCCACCTTCAGCTGCCGTATTGGCCAAAAATGAAAAAAGGAATACAGAACTCCCTACAGCTCACGTAGAAAAATAACGGGATAGCATCTTCAAAAAATTAGCCCAAGGGTGGAAATCCATCAAACACACCAATTTGATGCTCTAGGGGAGACTGTAAAATTGTGGGTCTACATGGCAAATAAGAAGTCCTTGAAGTGATCGGTGAACCCTTTTGGGGAGGGGACAAGGCTGAGTAATCCACCTAAATCTGCCAAAGACACGGCATTGGCCGGCTCGACTTCTTCAGGCTACCGCCACCAAATGGACATCCCATCCTACTGGCAACCAAAACCATAGCTTCTGCTTTCGATTCCGCCCTCTTTGATCAATCATTTCTCTTAGTATTCTTATCTTCGTGTTCTTTGCAAATGTACTCGCTCTTCTCCTCTCTGCTTCCTTAACTTCAATACCAAGAACTACTACAACCATCACCAACCTCTCTCTCTCTCTCATTACTCGCCACGAGATCATTACAAATCCAAGTACTCAAATGTTCCTCGAAAGTTCAAGCGGACGTGTTTCGGGGCCTTTCCCAAGCGTGGCTGAGGCGTCTCCTCCCTCCATTTCCGACGCAACAAACAGTCCCAAATAGCCACCGGGCGAGCCAAGAAAGTTCCATAGTTTTCAAATACATGATACGTCTACGCTGATTCTTTCAAGCAACGAGAAGCAGACACTGAATGGAGAGAGAGAGAGAGGGAGGGAGGGAGAGAGATACTTGGAATTGGCGACGTCGGCGAAGAGGGCGACGGAGAGGGTGTCGCCATTGCTGATGTCGAAGGCCTTCATGGCTGCAGCAGCACCGACGGCCGCGCTGTGTGTTCCCAAAACTCTGCTCAAGTGAAGCCTCGATCGGACAAAGCTAGGGTTTTTCAGCGCGGGTTTTCCTTATTATCGCGTGTGTCTCCAGTTTCCAACCGGACACTGCATCCGCCTTTTGTGGGGCGCCACGTGGCTCCCTAGTCAACGTGAGCCGAAAATCAAAACTAATGGAAAAAAAAAAAAGGGGTACATCATTCACACGATCTCGCGCCAGGTAGGGGTCGAACCTACGACTTTCTGCTTAGGAAACAGACGCTCTATCCACTGAGCTACAGGCGCTTCTTGTCAATGAATTGAAGCTTTAAAAATTGATATACATATTTTAGTTATAATCTAGTCATATTATGCATTCGAACTTTTTAAGAAAATTAAATCGTTTGATTTACGAACATGATTGATGATGGACTACTTACCCGTTGCGTCTGAATTTGTTGACATATGAGCATGTAAAATACGTGACCAGATGAATGTTTGTAGATTTTCGCTAAATGGTAATCGACTTTTTATGGATTTAAATTGGTGAAATCTGCATTTACCGTAAAGATAGAACATCTTAATCAGAATGATCACGGGATGGCGACAATGGCAAAGGACACCGAGCAAAATTAAGATGCGAAATGCCCTCCATGACATTGATGAAAGCCAATCGAGCTTTGTCCCATCAATCTATGTCCCCTTCAATTTTGAGTCATCTATCTTCAAGCACAGCCATTGACGTGTCCCCCAACCTGACTCCACAATCCTGGCCATGTCCATCACCTTCCTCTCTCTCTCTCTCTCTCTCTCTTCCCTCCCAGAAAATAGAACTTCCCATTTTCCATCAATCTTTTTTCGTTTCCGGGAAACTACTTTCCCAAGAGAAAGATGTGTCTCTCCATCTTCCTCCTGTGGCTTGTTAGCATCCCTCTCTTTGCTCATTCAAGCCCTGCCCCCAGAGGTAACCTCTCGGCACATCTTATGATACAATTCCAATCGCATTAACATAGACAAATGGATCCGTCTTCTGAATAAGCACATTTTGTTCTGTATGTTCATCAATTTGGGGAATAATTGCATCTGTTCCTGAACGTTTAGTCCAAGGAAAGACATGAAATTCGATCGTATCTCTTTTTTATGACGAGGAAACAAGAAGGATCTTGAATCCCATGATTCTTGGGTCCTATTGGTTCATCCATGAATGGCCAAAATGCAGGCTTTCTGATCAACTGTGGAGCATCAGAAGAGTCGACCTCAGGCAGCCTCAAGTACATCCTGGACGACGGCTTCATCTCCGTGGGGAACAAAACCGTCATAAAGACCCCCAATGCGTTGCCTGAATTGACCACGTTGAGATACTTCCCCGACAAGTCGGCGCGGAAATACTGTTACGTGCTCCCGGTCATCAAAGGCGGGAAATACCTCGCGAAGACGACGTACTTCTACGGAGGTTTCGATGGAGGGAAGGAGCCCCCGGTGTTCGATCAGCTCGTCGACGGGACCAAGTGGAGTACGGTCAATACCACAGAGGACTATGCCAATGGACTCAGCTCCTACTATGAGATCTTTGTGGCCGCCATGGGGAAGACATTGAGCATTTGCCTCGCGAGGAACGAGCATACAGTTTCCGACCCGTTTATTTCGGTCCTAGAAGTGGTGTATCTTGAGGATTCACTGTATAACACCAACGACTTCAAGAAGCATGCACTTAGCACGGTTGCTCGGCACACTTTTGGTGATAGCGAGGACATAATTCGGTAAGATGACTAACATCGTCCTTATTACTTTCATTCCTGGATTCCACTAGTTCGGTTCAAATGTCTTCCCCTGCATTCCTACTGCTTTCTATTCCAAATGGTTGAAGCGTTTGCAAACATTGCTAGCTGACTTTTTAAAACTGGCACGGGGAAGATAATGTCCAGGCTAGAAATGAAGGAAATCAAAATTTCCTTTTAATGTGTAAGAACACTCGGAATCGGTGTTACTTTTAGTACAATCAATCAAGGACTAGCACAGACTTGGAAGGCGAGGTCGCAATCATCTTAGAGCTACTTGTAGGAGAATGTTATGGAAGTATAGGTTAGATGAGACCGGTATTGTCATTTTAAATTGTAGGATTCATTTCGTGCCGTATTGTTTTGAAAAAAGAGACGGAAGAAAGTGGAAACTGAACCTCGAGGGTCTTTCTGATTTTTTGTTGTACTAATTTGTGCAAACCTAGGTATCCAGACGATGAATTCGATCGTTTCTGGCAACCGTTCACGAACGAAAACCCTGTCGTCATGAGCCAGTCCAAAGTGGACACTTCTGATTTCTGGAATGTCCCCCCAGCAAACGCATTTGCCACGGCAATCACGACAAGCAGAGGGAAGACCCTTAAAGTCCAGTGGCCACCAGTTCCTCTCCCCAGCAGCATATTCTATATTTCTCTCTACTTCCAAGATAACAGATCGCCGAGCCCCTACAGCTGGAGGGTCTTCGATGTGTCCATAAATGGCAAGAAGTTCTATTCTGAGCTCAATGTCACGGCCCGTGGAGTGACAGTTTACGCAACACAATGGCCTCTCTCAGGGCAGACTGAAATCTCCTTGACTCCAGGGGATGGGATACCCGTTGGGCCGTTGATTAACGCAGGTGAGGTCTTGCAGATACTGCCCCTAGGAGGGAGAACTCTCACAAGAGACGGTACATTTCTCGAACTTACAATCTAGCATTGCGGCACTGCCTATCATTCTGTTGTTTTTGTCGGGTAAGAGGAACCAACTTCTTGCGTTCCCTTACCAAAAAAAAAAATTATACCTTACCAAAAAAACTTCTTGCGTTCGTGTAAATATAGTAGCTTATTTTGTGTTCAATAGTGATGGCCATGGAAGAACTAGCGAGAAGCTTGAACAACCCGCCTTCTGATTGGAGCGGCGATCCATGCCTACCTCAACAGCACTCGTGGACTGGAGTTACATGTTCTCAAGGAAAGCTAGCCCGAGTCATCAGTCTGTAAGTTCATCAAATTGTGAATGCGTCAAAATCTTAATTTTACTCCGCCGGCCACCAGCTCTTTCTTTTAAAAGATTCCAAGTTCACTGAAAGTAGAAATACACGAACCGTTTGAAGGAACTTAACAAATGCTGGATTGTCTGGGTCATTGCTGCCAAGCATATCCAATTTAACGGCACTCAAGAATCTGTAAGTAACTCTCTCCTTTCTTTCTGCAGGATAGTCTATTTACATTCATTCTCGCCACTTGTTAATTTGATTACTTACTTGTTAGCTGGTTAGGAGGGAATGAATTGTCGGGGACCATCCCAGAGATGGAGTCGTTGAAGGCACTTCAGACGTTGTATGTTTCCCTAAAATAATTATCCGTCCTAATCACATTCACTAGTTTACTTGCAACTATTTGTTTTCTTTTGCAACATCTCACACAGGCATTTGGAGAATAACAAATTTGAAGGATCGATTCCTGAATCGCTAGGTCAACTACCAAATCTTCGCGAGATGTAAGTTTCGGCATTATGGAAGCGAAACTAGCTTTCGGTATCTTTCCACAGAATTTCCATAAGATCATATTAATTCTACTGACTTTCTTTCAATTTTACAGATTACTGCAGAATAATAAGTTGAATGGTAGCATTCCCGATGCCCTACAGGACAAAAATGGCATAAATCTACAGTAAGAACGTGCACATATCTTCTTCCATGGATCATTTGGATAAATAACCCTTTCAATTCAGCCTCTTGAGTGACTTGATAACTGAAAATTTTCTCCTTTATCAGGGTTTCTCCTGGAAATGATTGGTCAGAATCAAGATGATGATAGCGTGATTGCTGTAGCATCTGGATCAACTGAGTCATTGCCATGCTTACAAGCTTGAGATAGAAAATGGGAAGTCTTTGCAATTTAACATGACACTAATTGAATGACAGGATTGTATGCCAATGCTGATAATGCCACTAATAGAGTTCTCTGGGACATATCAGAGGACCGATAGAGCCTTCTTGGTTCTCTTCATACCGTGGCAAGAGAGAGGGGTCAACAGGACTGTATGCTAAAGCTCATAATGCCATTGATACTCACGCAACTTATTAAAGACGATCGATTATAGTCTAACTATCAATTCTTTATAGAGAGTCTTGACTGGCAAACCACTTCAGATGCTCAGATTTTTCCGTATATAATGAGCTAATTCCATTGATACTGCAGGGAAAACATTTGAAGAATGAAGTGCTACAAGTTCTTCATTTAACTCACCCACTATGACACAGGAAAATGCAACTACGATCATTATTTCTCTTCGCCGGATTCACTTGTCTCAAACACATTTACAAAATGACGATTGACAATTGACAGAGTATAAGAGCACCAAGAGCAGGTGCTATGTGCACGATGATTTTGGAACCAATCTTAACATCCCCTAACAAGGCAGCAACAGCAACTGTAGTAAGACATTGGCTACTGTAGAATTTCTTCTCTTTCTTTCTTTCTTCATTTCTCTTCAAAGATAAAACTGGACATTCATCAGGACAAGTAGCTTTCATCTTGTCATGCTCTGACCCATAGCAGGAGGCACCATAACACCTCTCTTCTCTCTATTCATGTTGGCTTCCCATCCTTCATCCACTCAAAAAGAAGAGAATTTGCAAGTCAAGTTATGAAAATTTCAAACATTTCACTGAATGTCAATACAGAAACACATGGAAAACACTTATTTTAACAAGATGAATGAGACATACGAGTAAAAGATTGATTGTTCTATTATGCGTCAGAATACGAAGCAACAATGCTAGTGGCAAGTGTGGGAGGGAACTAAGAAGCGTAGAGTAAGGCCCAAGTTGACCCATGTTTTTTTTTTCTGCTTGCATCATCGTCCATGACATAGAGCTGCAAGTGAGAAGTCTACATCAGAGAAGGCTTATTGCCTAGTCTTAATTTCGTTGAAGCTGGATGTTACAATCCTAACTTCAGAAAGAATTCCTTGTCCATGCCTAAGGATATCCATGCTTAAGCATAGGGATGCAAGATCACTTTTGATTGAGGCTCCGACAGAACTGAAAAGATGTGGCGAACATGTCTTGTAGGTTGAAACTAGACCTGATCAATGGGCAGGCCGGGCCTAGGACAGAGCCTTAATACCTAGCCTGGGGCTAGCTGCGTTTTATTTGGAAAAATGATCGAGACGGGGACAGGGCTTGCCCCATTCACATTTCAGACCCTGCGGCTAAGAAAAACTTCTGAATACAAAAGGTAATGGATGGAAGTGAATTACCGATTCCCATATCATAGCCCCGGTTCCTGAGCTCTCTGTATTCTTGACACAAAGCACAAGCTTCACAGAAGAAATGAACTAAGCAATCCACACATGGATCCTCTGCCAAGTCATATTGCCCCCTCAGTTTTGATCGGTAAAAGCATGAGAATAAGCACGCAAATCCGGTCATCGCAAGTAGCCCGTACACCGTGCCTTTCGCAGCGCAAGCTAAAAGTCAGGCGATAGCAACCATCAAAATCTAGTATTAGAAACCTAGAAAAATAAGTCCAAGTAATACTAAATAGTTAGAGAGATCATCATCAATTGCAAGGCTTACTTGAGGAACCTCTGTCCACTATCTCAGCAATCTGTCCGAATGTGATGCAAGGGCAAAAGCAAGTGACAATACCTATTACATGAAAGCAAAAACAGAAATTTATGTTAAGATACACTATCAAGTAGTCAATATACCTGAAAATCAATACTTTAGACTCAATAAAACAATTCTTCACACTTGCTTACAATTTGCAGGATCATCGCAACAATGGCAAAGATTAGTGGACCATTGGCCAGCGGCCACATGAGGCCGGAACTGGGAGGCAGGGTATGGAGGAGCATCTGCTTGGACTGAGCTCATCGTCGGGTTCTGATACACAGAACTGGGAAGGTGATGACCCGGATGGCCCTGTACACTGTACTTCGCAGGCTCGTCGGGTGACGGATACATATTGAATTTGTTTGTATGCAACCTGTGATCTGAAGTTCTGAATGAGGATAATCGTGCATATAAACTCAGTTCACAGTTCTCAACTTGTGAAGGGTGAGAAGAGTCAAGGTCTTTAAATATATTGCAAGGACCAAAGAGGCTACTTGGGGGAAGCAGCAACTAGTGCATCCAAGATTAAATTAGAAGTGTAAGATAACAAACTCGTGGTACTAGTTTTGGTCAAGGTGCCTTGCATAGGAAACGCGTTGCATCTTACAACCACCCTATTTTTTATTTTGTCCTGCATTGACGGAGGACTTGTCTAAGCATTGGAGCCGTGTTTTTCTTGAACTGTAGTTGGCGTCTGGAATCAAATGGCTTAGCATCAGTGAAAGAGTCTTTTTTGTTTTATTCGGTGTAGATGTGAACAGGACCCAACGAGGTGGTTGTTCAGCATGTGAACGCGAAGACCTTGGAGTTCACTAACCAATGAAACTGTTCTTGAGTCAACCCATGACCAGAAATCAATGATTCATTACGTCATTATGTGATGTCATTTCTGAGTGCAGTGCAAGATGTTGTCTTTGAGTAACTATGCAGTTCTGGTGTATATCGTCAACCAACCTACCAACTCTCCGTTCCAATATGGGAGGAAGGTATAAACTGCACTTTACATGGGTCAGTAAATTCTGGATCTTGTTTCTTTATCTTGATCACCGTCTTTGATCAGTAATTTTAAAACCCAAATCATTTGATCTTTCTGCAGCATCGACTTTGATGGCCAGATGTTCATTCGGTTCGGTCGTCTTCAATTTCTGATGTAAATGCTGTCAGCTGGGATATTCAACAGCAGTGTCATCCTTGATAAGATCAAGGTTAACTGGCTAACCAGTAAAAAGGAAGAAACTGCTGCGAAATTGTTCTTTTTGTTTCTATTTGGAAGGACTCATGGACCTTCTCATCTTTCAATTAATCATTGACTTGACTCCTGATTATGACAACATTCCAACTTTCAAATAACAGGCAGATTGTTAAGACTAGGAGTTGGTTGTCCGTCTTTGGCAGATGTAGTTTCAGATCAATATGAAGTGATCGACAAGTTCATTTATGGCGAATAAATGAAAAAGAGCGTGCCCCGATTCTACAAGGTAAGAAGTGGTGGAGAAAATGCCCTAAGCCAATGATCATGATCACATCAACGTTGAAATGACTTGTGCCATACTCTCACAATAAAACCTGTGCAGTTTGGTCAGGCCGCAAGAATCCGGCCGCCAGCTGAGTGCCTTTCTTTTGCTGCAGAACTCTTGGAAATCTCCTGTTTTATAGGCAAAAGCACAGAACAGTTCCTGGCATTTAGTCTTAACTTGAACTTTGGAATCAGCTGGTGTCTCTATACCAACTAGATCAAATTGGCATGTCAATTGGTTATGCAGCAAGCAGCATAGATGGTTCAGACTATTGTTTGGGCTCTATTTGCAAAAGTTATTGAGAGAAAAATTACAATATGGGCAAAAACATAGGACAATTAGGCTGCGCATGGCAACCATTCTATGCCCAGAATCAGATTCTGGGCAAAAATGATTCTTTTTTATTCTCTGCCCGGAAACAATTTTTAAGCATTTGAAGACGTTTGGTAACTACTCAAAATTTCTGTTCTTAGAACAGAAAAAGAATAGAAATGCATTTGGTAACTACATAAAATTTCTTTTTATTTATAATATTTTAATAATATTTTGAATTTTTAATTTTATTTTTTAATTTTTTTTTTTTTTTTTCTTTCTTTCCCCTTCCTTTCTTGGCCATGGTGGCCGCGTGTGCGGCGCCGCCACAGCAGGGCTCGGCACGCGCATCGCGGCCCTCGCCGTCGGCCTCGCCGATGGCGACGGCGCGAGTTGGCCTCGCCTTGGCGGGCGAGGCTCGACCTCGCCCGGATCTGCGGCCAGGCCGACCTCGCCAACCTTAGCGACGGTGAGGTCGAGCCTCGCCCACCCTAGCGACGGGTCGAGGTCGAGCCTCGCCCTCGCCAAGGCGGGTGAGGCCGCAATACCCTCGCGGCGGCCGGCGGGTGGCAGGGCCGAAGAACAACAACAACCAAAAAAAAGAAAAAAATCAAGAAGAATCAGTTCTGAAAAAATTATTCCAGAATCAAAAAGCTACTTTTTTTTTATTCTTAATTCTGTTCCAAAACTGATTCTGCAAAATTGTGCTCGGGCACAAAAAATTTAACAAACGGATTTCTGTTCCCAAATTGATTCTGGGAACAAAAGAACAGAATCAGTTACTATTTGGCAAGTTGCCAAACAGGCCCTTATTGACCCCAAAGTCAATTTCTAATTTGAGATATTGGGCTATGTCAGTTAGATAACCCATTTCTAGGCCAACAAGTCTAGCGAACCACTTGAGAAACAACTACTATTTGTCAAGGCCCAGTAAAGAAATCAGTGAATGGATCATGGGCCATACTCGATTTCATCAAATTTGAGTAAACCGAATCCCTCCTTTTGTAGACTCATGAGCTGTCAAAACTCAATAACTTCGGCTCTATCTTTTCCTTTATTTCTGGGTAAGTAAAATTCTACCCATCTTCTTGATCAAGCACATCGTCAACATCTGCTTTCATTTGTTATCACAAGCGTGGAAGAACATGCAAATATTACTTTGGAAAAGAAAAGAATAGTCAAGGAAAAGGCAAACCTACAAACCTCGGACAACGTGGGAAAGCATCATGACAGATTGATCTTCATTGACACTCAAAGTGTCAAGGGTGTTATAACCATACGAATATCCTATTTTGAATAAATGATGCTCGTGGAAACTAATGAATTGGCATTCTTATCTTCTAGGTTCCACACAAAGACAAAACCCCATCCACATAAATATACTTTCCTTCGCATATAATTAGCAAAAGAGAGAAAAAAACTATTGAAGTCTCATGAGCTATATGTAGAACTCAAGCTACATTCAAAGTACCCGACTAATTAAGTAAAACTCAAAGACTGTTTTTCCGTCTGATCTGACATTGTGAACCGAGCCTTCAGCTTGTTAAGAAATTTTGTTTTGTGCTGTTCAGGATTAAACAATAGAGGTGTTGCTCACCAAATGGGAGACCAGGACAGAGACAGTGTCTATAGTCAAACTTAGCTCCTTTCGCTCCTTGTAAGATTGGCCGAATAAGGTTGAAGCAATTCTTACTTGGGAATCATGCCACCTGTCCCACGAGTGAGCAATTGAAAATTGTTGGGAACTTTAAGCTGCATGTGAGGATCATTAGGAGTATAAAAAAAAACTGTATTAGAATTTAAGTTCTCTGTAGAGAGATCAAGAAAAATATTAGTCAATTCGAAGTTCTAAGCAAAAGGGAGTTTTAGTTTTGGCTTTATGTTCAGTGTTGTGTCGGCAAAGAATCCAGGGAACTTCATGATTTTTAAACTTGTCCTGAAAGTGAACCACTCCAAGTTCGCATGTGCCTTTCATGGCTAGTGTTTGGGTTGTGGTTGTGGAGATTGAAGTAGGGAGAGTCCTAGGCTGAGTTGGCCTTCTCTAGAAGGATTGGTACTTGCATGAACTCGCTGGTGGTGCATGTGTATTCGGTGAACAAGAACGATCTGATCGATTGGAAAATAAGTGAGACCTGCCTGAAGGAAGGTTTCTTATGTATAGCAGATGTCATGTGTATCTAGTGCATATAAGTATCTTGACAATGTCATGGTGACATGAGAAAGAGCATTAATTGTCTTAAATCATTGAAGGCACAAAAGAAAGAGATTGTAGCTTGTGGAAAGATGGGATTTATCATAAAAATCCTCTGAAATCATATTGATGAAAATGCCTTTGATTCTTGTAGATGAGGACTTAGAAGGGGTGATCCAGCAATTTGTGAGGACAAAGAGGAAGAAGCAAAACAGACTTGCTACTTGGACAGGTCTTTGCTGTCATGAGAGCAAACGATGAGGATCCAAGGAAAAAGTATCAAAATTATTCTATCAGTTGGCTTTTTAGGTGGTTTCGTTCATCTGTAGATATCCTGTTTGATTCATAAGCATTTTGAACCTGATGCAGCTATTTATGGACAGTAATTAGTCAGTGATAAGTCTGTACTTTGAAAATGATTGTCTAGGATGGTCATATATAATGCAAGAAAGCGTGTAAGGTAACCCTTGTCTCTCTTTGTTACCCACGGTTTTGCCTTTTCTCTTGTCTGATCTTTCTGTTTCTTTCGTTCCCTTCTTCTTTATGCAAATCTAGCATTCAATGCACGACTCTCGAGCCAGTTTACTCAAGTAAGCGGAACATATGGGAACAGAGAAGTGAAATTGAATATAGTTCCAAAAGACTTTGCAATCACTTTACTGGATTCACATTAGACATCAGCTAATATAATACGTGAACGCTTTTGTGTTCTCGAGATCAATTTTACCCTGTCAGAGAGCAGCTATGCTGTGGAATTTTTATATTTGCAGCAAGTTCAAAAACTTCTGATGGAGATCAGTGTTATTGTGCAAACATACAGAATGTTTCTGTAGAGTCATTTTATCTTAAGGGGTGCATGTGTAATTTAAACCTACCCCTTGGTTTGCCGCTGCACTGCAAGTAGGTTTTTACCACTTCAATACTGGCTTGAGGAGTGACAGCTAGTATGATTAAGTTACTCTATATTAAATTTGGAGAGAAAATTAAACCATCGAGTAACACAATTTAATCGATGGATTATCCATTACGTCTTCTAAAATTGACGCTTTCACATTAAATCTATACTTTTAAGAATGCCAATACCAACATGACATAATCATAAGATTTTTCACCCTTTAGTAGGATGTTTCAATTGAAGAGGCAGGGAAGTAAATGTTATGCAGTTACGGTCAAAAGTTTAATTTATAAGTCATCCGGAAAAGGAGAAAAAGCTGTTCAGATAGTGAATGCATGGTCCATTTAAAATATGGTATTGGAAAGGAGCAAGCTATTACCTTCATCTTTTTAATCACAATGTGGACAAATCTAAGTAACATGAGCTGTCTCCTAGACAGACTCCCAAAAACAAGCTCACTCCTATATAAGTCTAACATAGGCATGTGAATTCTAACAAGGAATTTAGACATTAATAACTTAGCAATTAGCCCTAGATCTTTGAATCTTCTTGTCCCCTAGAGTGCATGCTTAAACATGTTCAACAATGAGCAGGAAGGTTTCTATGCTCCCTCCACCATGTTGGGCCCAAGGATTTCATTTTCCCATGATTTTGCAGACACCCAACAACAACCACCCATCAGGCATGAAGCCAGAAAATATAAGGAAGCTCCGGTCTCTTCAGATTTCGAGTTCTCGGTGAACAACAACTCCATGATACCGGCTGATGAGATCTTCTCCAAGGGCAAGTTGCTACCTCTAAAGAGCAATGGGGCCAACCCCCTGAGGAAGATGACGCTGCGGGACGAGTTGCTCATGGATGACGACAGCTCCAATGATGCATTGCCAAGGTTGACAAGTACTCCGGGCCGGTGGAGAGAGAGGTGGGGCTTGAAGAGGAGTCACTTTGCATCCAAGAAAGGGGATAGGAGCGAAAGTTCCCTAGAGAAAGTGGTGGAGGACAAGGCTTCGATATTTGCCTTGACTAGCAAGAGCAACAGGTAATTTTTGGGAGTGTTCCCTGAAAAGTTGATCTCAAAAAGGTGTTTGCAGCAATCAAAGAGGGAAAACAATCTCTCAATTTAAACAGTGCGTGAGGCTGATTCCAATTTGAAAATTTTTTGGGCCAAGTAAAATGGCTTTGGTGATCTCATTTCATTTTTCTAGTCACACATTCTAATTATCTCTCATTCCACATATTCTCATCGAGTTGTCTCTAATCTTTGGGAACAAATAAGTTGACACAACTAAGACCAGAAACTTGAGCTTTCCTCTTAAAAACAAGGAACTCGGAGAGCTGTTTCGTATGAATAATACAGCTAATACAGCTTGTTGCATGGCATTTGCAGTATTTTGTGTCTAGAACTAGAAAACCTTCCTTTTTCAAGAACAGAGATGAATGGCCAGTGCTTATGTTTTGACCTCGTACTTCAGTGTCCACAATGAGTTATCTAATTTACCATCTGCTCTTGCAGGATCTGATGCAAAACAAGTTGGGGCAGAGGAAAGAAAAACAAAGAGAGAGAGACATCAGAAGGATTTCCCTAGACGCCTCATTTGTCGATTTGCTTGTGAATTATCGGAACACCGACGTCGGGGTTAACATGTAGAAAGCACTTTTTAACTTCTGTTTTTGATTTTTGATTTATTTGATCTAATGGAAATTCTTTTCCTCGAGCATTAATTCACCCTTCATCATTTTTCACTCGTTAATTCTACATTTCGGAATCTCTTTTTTTGGTTGTTGTGACTGGATTATTAAGTGTTAATCATAATAGTGATAAATCCACCCGGTAGATGTGGAAAGATTTCGACCAAAAAAAAAAAAAAAGATGTGGAAAGAGGGAAACTGACCCAATCAACCTCAAGAAAACGACCAATGACTTCTGTAAAGAATGACTGATCGGACTTCCTTCCCGATGAACCGGAATCCGTTACTGACATTATTCTTTAGACAAGACCAAAACAGTTGCCCAAAACATATAGTTCCTAGAACGACTAGGACGCCGGGTATGATAGTTCAGAGTGTTGGTCTTCCTTTTCCTTTTCCCGAAGTACATCGAACACATCGCGAATTGGGCAATTGCTGTCTGCAAATCTTGAGCAAATCAACACATTTTCCCACGGGAAGTGCTTCCAACAAAGCATCCGTACATGCACTATGGCAGCAAGAAAACATAGCACTGTCATCAAACCAAAGCATTATCACTGCATGCCACATATTTCTCAAGTAATCAACAGAAATTCTCCAGACGCACCCTTTCCAATGAGCGACATGCTCCGGGGCTCAATACATACTACAATAAAACTTTAGTCCTCAATTACGGGAACCAAACAGATGTGGCACAAGAAAATTTTCATTTCAATATTATGACAAACCGTCTATCATACATTATGTAAAGGCTTTGGAAAGAATGGGCAACTGAATCTGTACAACTATGCAAATCGAGGCATTGCAATTACAAGGCCCTCCTATGTGGGTGAAACTAGGATACAAAAAATATTTACACTTCCTAAGCCATAAAAATGTACACAATCGCAGAAAAAGGAATGATCCTCCGTCTTGTAGTGTGGAAGCAAAAAGAATGTTAACATTAATCCATTCTATGTTACCTGCAACCAATAAGTTTGTTCATGAGGTGCTGAAGTACAGTACCGACCAAAAAAATAGCCAAGAAAAAAAACTGAAGGAAAAGTACAATGCCGACGCCGAGTCGGAAAACACATTCAAGACAAACTTTCTGCTATGAACCTAGTACTGGCATAAATCTAGAACAATGAGAAAATTTAAAGAAGTTTCAACTCACAGTTTGGGATGGGGTCTAGACAAGCGGACAGCTCTTCCACAGTCCCCTTTCTCCCTGTGAGGAAACCTGTACTTGTCAATATTTCTTCGTTCTTCAATCCTGCACGTTGAATAAGAAGTTGAAATTTCACAACTGCTATATTAATATATTCCAACTGAAAGATACCGACTCACTTCTGAATCTATTCTTGCGGCTGATTAGGACCCATATATTTCTCCATAGACTCCTTTTTATGCTCTGGATCAAGGCTGAAAACATAAGACAACACATTAATCATTGTCTCAACATAACATTATACAACAAAGAATTAATATGAGGAGGGTCTTCAATTCAAGAAACCTATTTCTGATGCCAAGAAGTGTATAATGTACAGCACTCGCACAAGCAGACACCGGAGCTATGGTGGCTGCAGGAACTGCCCGGAAAGCAGTCGATATAGCTGCTCCAGCACCAGCTCCTCGCTGGTATTTCTTCAAGGGGGTTTGAACCAGAGCAGAAGCAGACTTGCCCAATCCGTCACTAATACATTCATAAGCCTGCATGGAGTACACATCCTTTAATCTAATATAAAACAAGAATTAAGCACGTGTTTTGTATCTTGCCAAAGGTATCATTGAATAGATATATGGGCCAAAAGAGAAAAGAAAACCAATGAAGAGACATAAGAATACTTGTATATGGCAAGCAATACCCAATCAAATTAGTAAAGTGGCAAGGTCTCATGCCCTCTGACTCGCAATATATTAAAAACACATAGAAGGTCAATTCGTTACAATAGCAACTCAATAGTATCCAAAGACTTTTACCAGATTACTATTCAAAGTCATGAATGCTTTGATGGTCAAATAAATGTGCGTCATGATCAACTAACAGAGAAAAGATTAACTAACATGGGGCGCCTCACAACACAACCCATTGTTTGAACACAACTAATGAGACCACAGCCAAAAGGAAGATTGGACATAGTTGTGAGGCACTGAAGCTATCAAATCAAAGGAAATCTAAATACCAGAATCAACTGTGATGCAATCACTAGTACACTCATGGCATACCATGAATCCTCACTGGTAGATATGAATGAACAATTTGAGTAAGAAACTTAAGTAGTTCTGCATAGACCTGTCAAAATGGGTCATAAACCCATTTCTTAACTCATATATCAGTAAATGGGTTAATTATAGTCACTAAATGGGTCATAAATGGGTATAAACATAATATGGGTGTTAAATGGGTCGTAAATGGGTCGTAAATGGGTCATAAATGGGTTTACAACTTATTTAAACTCAACTCATCTCTCTCACCCTCACTAAATCTCGCGCTCGCTCACTCCGCACTCTTATCTCGGTTTGGGTATGGGTTTTCCTAGATTGAGTTAAATATGTAAGTGTTTTAGCAAAATGGGTCGGGTCGGTATGGTCATTAAATTGCATTACATGGAAATGGGTCAAAATGGGTTAAATGGGTCTATTTGGGTCGGACCATTTTTATTGACAAACTTGACCTGTCCCATCCGTTTGACAGTCTAGTTCTGTACAAGCAGAACCAGAAGATTCAAAAAAGTACCATAAATCATCAAATAAATATAAACCTGCTTTATTCCATGCTGAACATCCTTAGGCTGATTAGATCTGACATTTGCATTTGCTCTACTTTGCAGAGGCCACGGAGAAGAAGGTGGAATACTCGCAAGAATATACTCTGCCTGCAGCAAGATATCGTGAGCACTTGCTGCCAAATGTACCCCTAGCCCCACAGCTTCAAGAGATATGCTTCTCAGAAATGCTACTGTGCCTGAATGAAGATGATTAGTAAGACTTTTGGGCAAATAACATGACTAGAGAATATGAAATAGAGAAACAAAAACAACAAGCTTTGTTAGAGGCTGAACTTATGTCGTCTTTGAATTACAACTATATTTAGCATGACATGCGGAAAAGCATCTAGCTAAAGAACAGAAAGAGGGAGACACCATAAGCTACCAAACAAGAAAATCCTTAATTAAAATGCTCCACCAAAATGCATTACATAAGGAATATTTCCACCATAAGATTGTCACATGTAAAAGAATTACTAAAAAAGACAAGAAGATTTATGTATTCGACCTTCCCTAAGAGAATTCCAGCTATTACTTAGAAACCTGTCCATTTTAATCAGAAATTCTGTCTATTTGAAGGGGGAAAAACTGCGCTCCTTATTTCTCAAAGCTTTCGATCAGATTTTGTTTGCAGCTTTACCTCTTTGCAATCCCTTGAGTACTCTATGATCCTTCTTGTAATTCTCAACTGGGCAAGAAACTAACTTTGCAGCAGCACTTCCAACAGAAATCAAGGACTGGATGGTAGGTAGGCCACGTAGTACCTTATGAATCTACACATGTATATTCGTTCAAGAGTATATCAATAGGCAAGGTAGAAAAACAAACAAAATATTATCCCAAGCAGAAAAAATCATATTGAAAACCTGATTTTGAGATATATCTTCCAACCATTCCCCTATGATTGTTTCACAAACATTATTCCAGCCATACACACCAACAGCTTGTACGGGCTTGAGATGTAGCTCAATTCCCTGTAGCACAAATTATACGGCAGAATGAGCTTAAAAATTGCAAGATAAGCACCACCACCAGAAGCAAATGTGATAGTGACAGGATCCCTTATAACCAATTTCAGGACATCACAGAGAATCAAAATTGTGACTACTAGCACTAAGGAAACATCTCTTTGGCATCCATAGACAAGACATACCTACTGTTAGATTCACATATTTATGAATTAATTTTTACCCAAAGAAAATATAACACAAGAAAGAAAACTACCTATTAAAAGAAACACAAGAGAGAAAAAGAGGAATGATTACGTGTACTTGCATTACCACTTTGGCAGAGAATGCCAGACGAGCAATTGAAAAGGGGACAAGGATGCTTACATTTCATTAGGACAATTATGAGATCATTCACCGAAGGAAAAGAACCACAATTATCATTTGAGCTAAAATGAAGACAGTAAAGTACCAGATCAACAAGTTTAGCCATATGCCACAATAAGAAGCCACGACGTATAAAAAGTGCTTTTTATTCCAAGACAGCAGCTCAAAAGACAAAATCTCATTGAGGTCAAGATGATAAAGACCTACCTTCCAGGGAACCAGGTTTACAAGCTCTACATACTTCCCACCTCCTAGTGCTGCTAAATCCACATGCTGTGGAGTGTAATCAACCCGAACACTGAAAGGCTTTATGTCAAATTTCTGTTGAGGATGTGATGTATTAGTCAAAAGTTTCACTATTTGAAAGAAAAAGTGCACATAATGAAAGCAAGCTCCCCATGCGAACAAGTACAAAAATGCAAACAGTATACAGGCAGACAACTGAAGAACAGTTTCTTCTCAATAGGTGATTGTATTTGTCAAGTCATATGGTAAGTATCTCTGCTTCCACCATGGATTATTTGCAAAAACAGCCCAATGGTGGACCCGGGTGTACATAGTCAAACCCAAGACTAGATCAAGACTCAATTAAAGACGTAAATTTAATGCTTCCACAGAGGTAAAAGGTAAAGACTAAGGACAGCATTCAGAAAAGCAACACGTGGAGTTATTCTAGCTAACAACATTAATTGCCACAATAAGAAAACTTAGCAGAAAGGATGCATTTACCTGAAAATATGGAAGCAA